TCTTTCTATTAGATAAAAAAAATAATTGCTATTTTGGGATATCTACTTTCATTTAACATAACATAGTTTTTTACACATAATGAGGGACAAGTAATTGTTGAATTAGTTTTATATGGTGAAGGGAGTTATTATTTTTTCATCTTTATATCTTTGGTCCTAAAATGTTTTCTGGCTTTTAGTAATATCACTTCTCATTTGATGCATAATTATTTCTGAATTATTCCCTTAGATTTATAATTTATTTAATGTCTAGTACTAAAAATAGAGTATATCTAAGCACCTGTGTATATAAGTAATGACTTCCAGTTGAAGTGTCTGAGTACATTTTTACTGGAATAAATTCTTGGAACCTGCACAATTCCTCCATCATTAAACCATTTCAGCTTGCTTTTATAATCAGTAAAAGAGGGTTCAACATGAGGGTGGCCTCTAGTTCGAGCTGAAGTTTATTAGTAAGGATTCAGGGTGGATCTCTGGGAGTGACTAGAGAAAGGAAAACATGGAATGTCAGACAGAAGGCTAGCACACTTTTAAGTCACAGCCTCTTAACGTGGAGCATTGCTTAACCACATTTTATATTTGTGTTATTCAAATGTTTTGGTAATTTATTTGACAAAATGTGTTCTGCCTTCTAGTATATCAATACTATGCTGTCTGTATATGTTACTCTATTATTAGTTTTTCTATGTATTTCTACTTCATACCAGAGTAAGAGATATTCCTGGGTGGTAGATATCGAACACTATCTTCTTGTTCTCTCTATATTTTTATTTTAGAGAAAACATTTTTTGGCTTTAGGACATCACTCCCTCATATAGCTTGTTGGTAGTGACTATTTAGAGCACCTAAGCTCTGTGGTAAATTTTGGAGCTGTTGAGATTAAACTATTAATGATGAAAGAACAAGGGTAAAGAAAAGAAAGGTGGTAAAATACAGTATTGCATATTTTATGATCCATGGTTGCTCTTGATTCTAGAGAAGCTAGTTGACTTCAAATGGTAGTGTTCCTTGGCTAGTTTCCAAGGTCGTTGCTGATACAGACTGAGAGGTGATTTGGTTCAAATGATGTTACAAGAAAAGGAAAAGTGTTCTTAGAACATGGCCAAATCACAAATTCTGTCAACAAGGAAGTTATATGAATTTCCTTTTAATTGTATCATCTTTAAAAAAAGATATTTCTCAGGTGGGTGAGATGGCTTAGTGGGTAAAGGTGCTTGCTCCTAAATACAATGACCTGATTTTTATCCCTGAAATTCATGTGGTAGAAAGAGAGACCAGAATTCTGCAAGTTGTCTTCTGACTGCCATATGTGTTATGCCACGTACAGCAAGCATGCACACACACAAAATAAAGCAATTTTAAAGAGATATTTGTCGGCTTAAAAACTGTAAAAATGTCACCTGCTCCCTGTGAAAAATTCATACAGAAATTATATAGTAAAAGCTTGAATTGTCCCAAAAAGCTATTGCCATTTAAATATATCCTTTCACATATATTTCGTGGTATTTGTTGTACGAGTTTGAATTACTGAGTCCAGTTGACTTATAAGTCAGAGTGTTGCTTTCACTTTTTCACTTTTGTATTTAATTATTTCCCTTTTCTCTTCCTTACAGGCCTGCCATGGGTGTTCTCCTACATCAAAATGTGACTGCAGTGGTGTAAAAGGGGAAAAGGTAAGAGTTGAGTTGGGCATATTCCAACTGAGTAAAACGTCAAATGATATTTTTTGAATTGACTTTTTTGCTTTTCATTTTTTATTATTGAGAATTTTATACATGAGTATTGTCTTCATATTTTTAAATCGTTTCCAGTCTTCCTCCAAATCCTACCATGTCCCTCCCCCCATTCCCTCTCAATTTCTTGTCCTCTTCTTTGATTATGATTGTTGCATGTGGCTCAGGGAACAGCATGAAAGAGGGGGTAGAAAGAATGTAAGAACCAAAAGGATGAGACACCTGCTGCTAGTTAATGCATTCTAGACATGATAGGGAAGCTGCACCAATGAATGAAATCTCCACAGCATGGTGGTCTAATGAGATCTGAAAAATGACAAAACCAGTTGACATGCCAAGGTGGATTTGGAGGCAGATTTCACAGTGTCCCATCTCAGGATGAAGAGCTGCAGGCAATTAAAGGATGCTTATGGAGGGAGAATCAGATTTCAAGGAATAGCTCCCTGAGAGGCTCTCCAAGTAGGCAACCCTAAACACAGATATATAGGAATACCACTAAATACTTTTAATGAACTAAAAAAAAAAAAATACTGGGCTTCATTCAGCACACAGTAAAATAAAATACATTCTACTATACTGCTTAGTTTAGAGTGACAACTTATAAAGATTTCTATAAAAGGCTATATAGTAAATTTTTAAAAGATTTTAAAACAATTTTTATGCTATGTGAATGAGTGTTCTGCTTACATGTATGTCTGTGCACCATGTGTGACCCTGGTGCTTGAGGAGACCAGGAGAGGGCTTCAATTCACCTGGAACAGGAGTTAAAGGATGCTGTGAACTTCTGTGTGGGTGCTGGTAACAATCCCATGTCCTGTGCAAAAGTGTGAAGTGCTCTTAACAACTGAGCCATCTCTCCAGCTCCTATATAGTAAATATTTTAGGCTTCATGGTACATATAAGTTCTCTGTTACATTTTGTTTTGTGATGAGTTTTCAACACATGGCCTTGCACTTGCTAGGCAAGCACTCTACTACTGAGCTGAATCCCTAGTTCTTTTTTAAAATAAGTATTTAAAAATTACCCTAAAAATCTTAGGTTAGGGTAAATCTGGGAAAGGGGGCATGAGTGATCAAGGAGCAGGGGTGGGGAAGACTGAACAATATGAAAATAGGAATGAAAATCCCATATAGAAGCGTGCTACTTGAAAGTAAAATTTGTAAAAACTAAATAATAATATCATCATCATCATTTGAAATAATTGTGGAGTGTTTTTTGCCAGATGAACACATCTAGAAATAAGTAAACATTATGGATAAAGTATGACATGTGCTCAAATTTTTTGTTAAATCCTGAATTTTATATGTGTAGAGGATGGTTCATACAATCAAGTAAAAAGAAAGCTAAAACCTTGTGGTAACTGAGTATAGATAAACTGTTGACCACTGAAGGGAAAACATTTTGAAGTTTGAAAAGTCATATGAATCAGTTATTTCTTACAACAAAAATGTAATGTTCCTTAGGAACCTAGTATCTCTATTTATTGCCTAAAAGAGCCACTATGCAATTAAATTTACCAAATAAATCTGACCAATAATTAAGAAAAAGATTAATTACTGAAAATTGCTAAAATAATATAGATGTTAGATTTTTAAAGAGATATTTGGAGCAGATCAAATAAATATACTTGTTAATTTAAAGGACAATATGTTTATAATGAGAGAACAGATAGTCACAACAGATCCTGGAAATTAAACAAATCTGAAAATGGAAATTGGAAAACAAAAATATAAGTAAAACAGGTTATCAGGTGAATATGCCAACAGAATTGAAATATCAAAATTGAAAAGCTGTCCGACTGACAACTTAAAATCCATGTCACAGTCAAGCAGGCCCTAAACAAAATGTAACCCTCTACCCTGTGTCATTAGTGTTTACCTGGAGCTGGTTACAAATACAAATGCTCAGGATCTGCAACTGAGTTACCCAAACTAAAGGTGATGATAGTGTTGGGTAATTTATTTTAACAATCTCTCAAGGTGGCTCTGTTACAAGTTAAATTTTAAGGTCTAAATATTTTCATTTTGGCAGTTGCTATACTTCTTGTTTTTTAATTATATTGTGACAACTATTTCTTTGTGTTACATAATTATAAGAACAAAAGAGAAATTACACAAAAGAAGACATAATTGTTTCTTAATCAGATCATTGCTTTGTTTACTAAAAGGCCTTTTCCATATTTAATATAGTACATACATTTGACAATGTTTATAACTCAATATAATTTCCTACTTTGTCATTATAATATTTTGTTTTTATAACTAAGTGTTAACTATATTTATGCTTGGTATGTTGACACATACCTGGCATCCTAACATCCAACAGAGTTTCATAGCAAGTTTGAGACTAACCAACCTTGACTAGTGAGACCATGTCTCTAATTAAATATTCAAACAAACAAAAAACCCTATTCTTATTTTTTCATTCCTATTTTCAGAAAACATTTTTGTTGTGATTACAGCCTTTTTAAAAACATGGTAATGTTTTAATGAGTGCTTTTAACTCAAAAAGTAGGGATTGCTTCTTAGATAATTCAATATTCTTCTTGTAACTGGAGAGCTGGAGTTGTTGCTCAGTGGTAGAGTGTTTCTCTAGCTTATGTGAGACTGTAGCTTTAGCACAAAATAATTTCCTTTTGTATAATTTATCAAAATTCAAAGTCCTTCTTTTGAGTTTGGATAAAGCATCTGCTGAAAATTTTGTGTAATCCGTTAAGGAAGTTCATGCATTGCAGGAATGCTTACTGAGTATTTGTTCTATTGGACACTTAGAATACAAGGTTGGAGAAGACAGGATTGATTCCATGAATGGGTAATGGAGAGGGTGGTGTCCAGGTTAGTACAAATTTCTGATAGCTGTATTCTGTTACTTCATGGAATAAAAAAAAGTGGTAGAAAGACAATAATGTTTATGTTGTTTATATCAATTTTACACTTAGCATAAGTACAAAACTTATCTTTATCATAACTTTTTATATATAAAATGGAAATAACAAATTTGCCTTACCTTGTCCTGGTGATAACACAAAACATGGGAACAATTTAAAAGAATCTCTGGCACACAGAGAACACACAAAACCGTGTAACTATTCTTACAGTTGTTGAATTTTAGGTGCCTGTGGAAATGTTTAAGACAGACATAAGAGTTTAGCCTTAAGGGGGGGGAAACAATATTTCAAATTTCTTAGGGAAATAGAGAAGAAATCAATAAAAGAATCTAGAATAATATCAATATTTACAGATAGACAAAGAGAGAAGCATACTATTTTTCAAAAAATAATAAGAAAAAATTTAAAAATCTAAACATGGGTAGGCAAGGTGAGCCAGTGAGGTTTTATTGTTGTTTGATTTTTTTTTTCATTTGACCTTCAGAAAACATATCGTTCTTAGTCTGTAAATGTTAGAAAATAGAAAACATTTCTATAGCAGTTTGAAAGATGAAACGAATGCCTAGAGTAGCAAAGAGTAGACATATAATGAGTGTGAGCCTTTTCTATTGTTTCTTTTATGAATTAGGTAGAAAAACTTTTTAACCCACTTTACAAAAGACAGATGTTTGCTACTTAAGCAAACATTTTACCTTTGAAAGTCTCAGTATTGCTATTTAATTTTTTTTTGCTCTTTTACTGATACCAATACAAATAAACTTTTTAGCATCCTCTTTTCTGTTTAGATTTATTACATTTACTTTTTATTCTGTGTGTGTGTATGTGTGTGTGTGTGTGTGTGTATATGCACATTTCATGCCATATGAGTGAACCTCAGAAGATGACTTATGGGGGTCAGTCCCCTTACACGCTGTGTGTCCCAAGGAATTGATCAGGTCAGGCTTGGCAGCAAGTGCCTTTACCTGCTGATTCACCTTCCCGGTTGACACACTTTATTTTTCGATCTCTAGTTTATTCCTCTTCTATCTGAAACCCAGATAGGAATTTTGCTTTGAAAATAGTACAGTTTTAGTCAGGTAGCATATTCAAATTTTGAAAGATGTTTGCTCTAAAACTGTACCTATTTTCTACTTATGGACATGTATTGGACCTAGATTTTTCTTCCTTTTTTGCTTTCTTTCTGACTGGAATTTGCACTTAAAGTTTTATTCCTATCTCTGCTAGTAAAAGGCTATTCTATGATTTGAGACAATATTTTAAAAAATATTTTATTATTTTTACTTATGTGTATGAATGTTTTGCATGTATGTATGTAAGTGCACCCGTGTCATACAGTTCCCGTGGAAGTCAGAAGACAGTGTTGGATCCCTTGGAACTTGAGTTACAGAGAGTTCTTAGCTACCATGTGGGTTCTGAAATTGAACCCAGGTCCCCTGTAGGAGCAGCTAGTGCTCTTAACTATTGAGTCATCTCTCCAGCCCCAGATTTGAGACAATCTTACTCTTAAAATTTTGAAATATTTATTTTTTCCCTCTTGCCTTATTTCCTTCAAGCTAGCTGAGTTTAGGTCAACAGTTATTATCGCAGTGTTATGACTAAGACAACAAAAGGGTATAATTCTAGAAAATAAAAATATATTCATATCATAATATGTCAGCTATAATTATTGCCAAACCTATAATCTTTTCAACCTGTCATTTATTTGTTATTATTTGCTTCATTTCCACTAATATGTGGAAATTGGTTTAAAATAATCTTTTAAAATAAATGCTTATGTTTTAGGGTATAGGATGTTTCAAGATAAGGAATTAGTCTACATAAAGGTATTTAAGTTCTTTAGTATTAACTCAGCTACGTACAGTACAAACATGTACATACATACATTTTGGGAGTAATAATACAGGCATACAATATCTTAGCATGTAAGTAGAAACACTGCTTCACTGGCACGTTAGTCCTTGACCATTTAGATATGGATGCTTTCTCTTTCTCAGGTATTTCTGGGCCACACTCTACTTCTGTTGTGAAGTTTCTCAGAATGAGATCTGGCCAGAGACAGCCTTCAACTCTTAGAAAATTAGAGAACTACTAATGTGGGGAAAGTTTGATCCCTCGAGGCCCTTATACATCATAGTAGAGAATTTTATTTCTCTGATTACTTTTAAAGTTCACACTCTTCCTGAGACTGGACATATGCAAATGAACTAACCATAAAGTACTGATCTGAAAAGTACACATGCTGGGTCTGCAATACTTACCTTTATAGAGTGACAGATAGTCACATTACAACCCTACCTTATAGATGTTGATAAGATATGATGGGCACCCATTCATAGTAGAGCGGCACTCCTGTACCACTGTCAAATGCTATGGTCAGAACTAAGAATGAATCACAATTTTACATAATTATTCTTAGTAATTAAATGTGGTATGTTTATATATTTTCATTTTCCAGAGTAAACGTGCATTCCATTTTGTATTATTCAGTTTTGTGAAAACAGTTTTCGATGTTCTAAAGGCTTTTTAATAGCTACTTTAATCATAATTAGATAATAAATTTCCATTTTGGTTAATCCTGCAACTCTTCCTGTGACAGAATACTTGCCAAGAGACAATTTAAGGGAGTAAGGGTTTATTTTGGCTTACAGTTCAAGGAACACAATTCTGGTGGCAGGAGTGGGAGGATGCTGGTTAGATTGTATCTGCAGTAAACAAAGCAGAAAGAGGACAGAAAGTGAGGCTGGGCTGTAGAAGTTCAAGGCATTCCTTTAGTAAACTATTTCCTTCAGAAAGGGTCCACTTCCTAAAGATTACCCAACCTTTCAAAATAGTAACAGCAGTTGGGGAACAAATGTTCAAACACATGAGCCTGTGAGAACATTTCTCATTCAGATCACTCTTCTTCTCTACAGCAAATCTGGAACTTCTCTGGTGAATTGTTTGACTTTTCTCCATCCTTGTTCTGTATTTATTTCATTGAATCATTTTAAACAATAGTGTCCTGGTCTTACTGTCATCTTCCCTGTTAAACTCTTGTTGTTATTACGCTTAACTCTCAGTTTATCTCTGATATGATTTTGACTTTTACAAGTAACAAGGAGATTACATTACTATGTATAATAAAATTTGGGATGATGTGTATTTTTTCTTCTCTTAGCTTATAGGTTTGTCCATGTCAGTAAATCCTGTGGATCGAGAGTATCAATATATTCTGTTACTTTGACCTCCTAGCCATTTGAGCTTTGTGAGTCTCAGCTATAGTTGTGCTAAAACATTCACAAATGAACTTTCTTTTTATTTCTGATCAATTACAGGGAGAGCGAGGATTTCCAGGTTTGGAAGGCCATCCAGGTTTGCCTGGATTTCCAGGTCCAGAAGGGCCACCAGGTCCTCGAGGACAAAAGGTATGTGTCAAGTGGCCAACCAGCCATACTAGAGTAGTTAAACCATCCTACAATGTGAGACAAAGTGTGAAGTCAACTAAAATGTCACTGAATTGTAGTGAAAAACTAATACTTAAATCAAACAACACAATTGGAGGGATTTTAATTTTGCTGGTTTCTTAATTAAACATTACTATCATATTTAATTTTTTGTAAGATGATGTTAATTGTACATGGTTACACGCATCCTGTTACCTTGAATTTTCATGGGCAGATAAGAAAAAATGTGTAGTCACCCCAGAGGGTTACCACTGACAGACCAAAGTTAAGATTTAAATGGAAGTCCAACTTGATAAAATCGATGCATTTGTTAGGCTTGCTTATAGAACATGGGTGAGAGGTTACTTACAGGAATGTGAATGACTTCAAAATACTCTAGCATCTCAGACCATTTGCAGCTAGGGGAAGGCTGCAATAGATGGAATGTCAGGTATGGGCCTCTAGACTCATTTTTCCTTATCTACTAGGGAGAGCTAATACAACTATTGCCATTATCATAGACCTGTCTATCACAACTAGAGCCCTTACCATGGCTCTAGTTGCAGTGACTACTGGGGCAAAGTCCAAGGTGTCATATTCTTATGACCACAGGAAAAATCTCCTCAGGACAGATCCCTAACAAAAGTTCAGTTCTACCAGGTGCTAAACAGAACTGGAAAGGATAGAGTTGTGAGTTGTCAAAGTAGCTGGTTAAAATAGCAAGCCAACATGAAACTAGATTTAAACTTTTATTCATTTTCTACAATATCACACAAAAAAGAAGTTAAAGAAACCACTGACTAACTCCTTCATTGCTCTTTTTTTCCCAATGGTACAGCACCACCAAGAGTTAGATAGACCAACATAAAGTATGAGAATTGTTTTACTGTTGGAAGAGCTCAAAACAAAATCTCCAGAAATGATGCAAACTTAGGGGCAAGGAGAATGAAGGATAAGGACCAGGAGTGGAAAATTACTATGATAATACAGGAAAAGTGTTTTCTAAGGTTTCCTTTCTCCCATATGGAGGTCTCCACTAAGGCTCTGGGCAAGGAAACCTATCTTCAGAAGAGCACTGATGACTCAGGGTGTCTGTAGTTCTTTTCAAGATACCTCACTGTATTAGCTGCCCACCAAGTTTGGTGTGGGAAGGGAAGCTATCCTAAACAGGAAGCATTTGGATGGACCTTAAAATCACAGATGGGTGTTTAGATGGCACTAGCCCTATCAACTCTATCCTGTTATATTTTAAGATCTGAGAAGTAAACAGAAGCTACCCTATTATGAAGTTTGAATGTGTTGAAGTTTTAAAGGGCAATGTGAAAAATTGGCTAATTGTTCTGTGACCACAGTAGATCATGTTCATGATCAATTTTATTAGTTATTTTAATTGGGGCGTGGGTGAGACAGGGTCTCCCTGTAGCCCCAGTTGGCCTGGAACTGGCTAGATAGACCAGGCTGGCCTCATCTCACAAAGATCTACCTGCCTCTGCTTCCTGAGTGCTGGGATTAAAGGTATGCACTACCATGCCCAGCCTGAACATGGTCAATATTATTCCAAAGAAGATGTTCAAGCCCACCTGGAATGAATGTAACTATGACCTGTATCGTCTGCCAAGCCAAAGACCAGGTATCACCGAGCCTACACAATCTACTTTTGGGAGATGGAAAGCATTCTTCTTAAGTTTTATGCATGTTGTATTTTACCAGTTATAGTAATGTAGATAAATATGAGGTGTTGGCAGTTGCAGAGATCCTCTCTTTTGTTGGCCAGAAGAAGGTGAGAGTGATATTAGACTAGTCTGTTAGGCGCCCCAAGATTAATTAGTGTCATTAATTCCATGAGCAAGGGTCAAAGACATGTAGAGCTTTCCTTTTTCTAATCCAATGACTGAACAAAGGAACCTTGAGTGGAACATAAGCATAATAAGAGAGTCCAAAATGCTAACTTGAATTTCTCCTGAGTAATCTGTGTCTCTTTGATGTGGAGCTCCTCTTATTCTGTGTACTTAAAGGGAGCAGCTATAGTTAATATTGAAGAATTGTTTATTAATGCCACACATATGCATATTCCGTTGCTTGGAATATGAAAGTGCTGGTTTTTTAAAAAGAATAATATACCAGTGTGGATATACATATTAAGAATATAAGATGTTGGGGCTCAACAAATCAGAAACCCCTCTGGGTGGTCAGAGTCCTTGTATGGAATTGGAAAATATTGTGTAATGTGGAAAAGATTGCCACTATCAAGACAATGTGGCTCCAGTAGCAGACCTTGGGCCTTTCCCCCCAGATCTTTCAGTTGTTCTCATTTTTGACAAGAGGGATTTGGTGTCTCAGGCAGCATTTTGTTCCTGTGGAATCATAGTCCAATCGAGGAAACAAATTAGACTCAAAATAATAAAGTTGGAGTGCCTGTGGTGCTAAAATTGTTCATATTATGAGAAATGTTCATTTGTAGCATTCTGTAGTACAGTAATCAGGTGTTTATGTGTTGAGCATGAGTGACAAATCTAGCAGTTTTCTCAAATTTATAGGGATGGCACAGGCATACCAATGGAATTGGCAAGGTCACATAGGATATTCAGTGGAAAAGAGAAACTATAAGTTATATTTATTCCAAACCTCATATTCTAGTTTTTATCAGTTGGTGGCGACTGTGTGTGTTGACTGCAATACAGGCAGTCTGTCCACAATCATGAGCAAGGATTTGCATCTTTATGTGTATGTTAAGACAGAGAATAGGAAGAGAGAATAGTACATTTTGTGTGTGTGTATTTCATACAGAATATCTCAAACAGTCAATGATCTTTATACTCCTGTCCCCACTGGCACTCTCCCATAACACCCCCTCCCACTGAAGCCCGTATACTCTGTCATCCCTGTTAAGGCCCACTGGGTTGTCAGTGTCCCCAGCCATTCTCCGATGCAAATCCGTCCACTAATCCGTCTACTCAGCCTATCTGGAGTTCCTTGTTATAGGAAGATCAGCTCTTCTTCATCTAGCAGCAATCAGTTGCCAACATTCCTTCAGATAAGACTGAGTTCCGCTGTTCATTTTCCCAGTTCTATGCTAGGTTATTGTCTGCTTGAGTATGCATGGGACTTGTATATGCTGACACCATTGCCATAGAGTCATATGAGCAGGTTCCCAGGAGACTGTAGAGCTCTGTTTCCATATGATCACGCACCTCTTCTCTGGCACTTACAACCTTTCTCCCTCCTCTTCCGTGAAGATGAAGAGAAGTTTCTTTTCATTTTTCGTGGCTCTTTGGGCTCAGTGCCCTTTTTCATCTGTATTAGGTAGACTGGTTAAAGTGGCATATGAAAGAGCCAGTTCTGTTCACTTCGAAAGCAAAAAATTGGCTTAAAATCCTTCCCCCCATCTTTATTATTTCATGTAAAGATGTTGCATATTAGAGGATTTAGCAAATCAAATATATATCACCAGGTAGCCCTCCCAGTAAAGGAAGAATATTAAATGCATGGAGTTGTTTTTATGACTATTTATATGAGAGCTTATATTTTAGGAGACTGCTGAGGATGATAGTGGGCAAGTAGTTTTGAGAGATTTAAGAGCAAATGGGATCTGTGCTAAATTCCCTGAGTAGAATGCAAACACCAAGGAAACACTAAAACTCTAAGTGACCGAGTAATATTTCAGTAGATGGACCATCAACTGAATTTATTAGGTCTCGTAACACAGCAAGAGTAAGAGTAGCAGAACGATTCTTGTCTCCCCAGGAATAGCAAAGTAGCACAGCGATCTGAAGCAGTCAAGTACATGGAATTGAGCACGAATTCAGCAACAATCTCTACAGATTACTGACACAGTACAGCTTAGAAAATTCCAACCTCAGTTACATTCTCTCATCTCTCAACACACCAGAACAGTTTAACTCCTCCAAAATTAAGGCATGATCTTGTGAAAATGAGGTGGGAACCCAAATTGACTGAAAGCATATTTCAGCTATGTTATGGAAGTGGGTGCCTGAGAATAGAAAGTAAGCTGAACCACATAAAAGCTAAATTACTTGCATTTGAGTTTATCTGGAGCTAGAGCCTTATTTTCTTTCATACCATGCTTATTAGGAGGGAACAGCTTGAATAAATATTCCTGTTATATTTTTATAAATTACATTAAAATTCTTTTGACATTTAATTTGTCTTACTTTACTATTAACTGAGATACTTTAATGATAGTGTGATAGTTTATAAAGATGTTCTTTTATGCAATTTAAGTTTAGAAAGCGATCCAACTTTTCCTCAGGTTCCATTTTATTATTTGTAAACTGAGAAAGTAAACTAATTTCTAAACATTTTGGATTCTACGTTTCAAGCATTTCATATTGCATGACACACCTTAATGTGAACATTTTATGTGACATATATGTGTGTGCATGTGCATTCATGTGTAAAGTCAATTTTATAGGACAAATTTTTTAATTTTTACAAAAAACTTTATTGAGAATTTCATACATGCATATACGGTGTTTTGATCAAATCCATGCCCACTCCCTCCCTCCAACATTTCCCTCTCTGAAGATATAACCCTAAAATCTTTTAAGGAATAAATACAAGCTCCCAAATACTATTAACATTTTTGGCCTTTGGAACAGAGTATGTTGCTAACAGGCCAAAGGACATTTTGACTTTTAGCCCCAAAACTGGCTGCATTTCTTTGGGGTCTTTTTACCCTAACTGCCTAGGCAATTCCTACCTCCTATTCTTATTACACCATCCTCTGAAGGGGTTACCCAAATTGCCAATAGGGAATCTGGACTCATACAGCTCTGGCTTCTTCTGTGCTGAACAGGGATCTTGAATCATGAATAGGAGATGTGAAGGAGAAGTAAAGGCAAGAGTAATTAGCATTACAAGTTCTAGACAGGGAAATAGAAAAAAGTCAATTTTCAAATGTTCATATGAGAGTCCATTGCAGTTTCTTGACAAGGGCTTCCAAAAGCATCCCTCTATTGGGTTCTGTCTCATTTTTCTTTTGTCTTCCAAGGCTGGACTAGTTGGCTGGGAAGAGTGGCTGGACACTCAGGTGAGGGTCCAGTGACCCTGCTTGGTACTCCTTTAATGAATGAGCAAAACCATCGACAAGTCCAATTGTGACTATGTTTAGTGATCAGGCTCTGTATACTCATTTTATGGAACTATCAATATATAAAACACACATACCTACGCATCTGTGCAAATGTACATGTGTATTTATAATTCTTCAAATGAATTCTGTATTAAATATAAGTTAATTCATGTTTGTTAGATAATATATTCATTCAAGATGAAGTATACAATAAAAATTTTCTCATATTCTTCTTCTTCTTTTTCATTGTATATTGAAGGCATGATATAGTAACCAAATCCCTATACATGATTTCATAGCTAGTTTTCAATATTTTGCTGCTATAAAAAGTAACTGCTGGTATATGTAACTGAGAACTTGGATTACAAGTGCACCATCACACCTGACTTTCTAATTTCATTTCCTAAATTTCTTCTTTGTATTTAACCAAGGTGCTTGGTACAGTCAATACAATATTGAAGCATCTTGTCTTATTTGTGCCTTCAGTGGGAAGGCATAAAATATTCATTGACAAGAGATTTTATAGTTGTTTTAAAAGGGGAATTGGGATTACTTTAATGTTCTTTAAATTGCATCTGCTTCAGAAAGAGTACATCATTAAATTTTCTAAAAAGCAGAGTATTATAGGGAAAATCTTCACTAACAATATCCGTGCCTTTGCTGCCAGAACCTGTGGATACATTACTTTACAAATCAGAATTTTTATTCAATTTTCAAAAGAAGATGGTTAACAAAACTTACTAAGATTTTAACTTTTCAGCAATGCAGTTGTGACTAGAAAGGGATAGATAGATTAATGTAGAGGTAGGCAACCTCTTTTGTATGGAATAAACAATGGACTCTGGAAAGGAAAGTTTGTCGTTCTTTATCAGTCCTTAAGATCTTCCAGTAGGAAATGCTTAATAAAATAAATCAAAATATAAAACAGAAATTAATGTGCAGCACATACACCTGTAAGTTGATTTAAAATGGAGACTGCCTGGATTTTTAGCTCTTGTTTAGTTTATGCATAAATACTTTTGGAAGTACCTGTACTGCTATTTTATCTTCATTTTCTTCCATGACTCATGTTCAAATTTACTAATGTAAAGATTCTTCTACATGTTAACAGTCTCCTCAGTAAAATAATGGCCTTTCTTAGTTAGTATTGGCCACATAATTTATCAATGTCTTTAGACATTTTTAAAATGCCTTTAGTCGTAATAGTAAACCTTTGGGTATATGAGTTTAACATTAACTTCAGAAAATTTTTCTAAAGTTTAAGACTCTTATACTGGAAAATTAGTTCTTTGAGGACTGATTTGAAGGAAAAAGAACTAAACATATTGTATTTTTCAGGGTGATGATGGAATTCCAGGGCCAACAGGACCAAAAGGAGTCAGAGTAAGCAATATTCTATGTATGAAAAATGCATTGTTGTTGTAAATGATTTTAAAAAACCAAATGAAGTATCATGAGACAACCGGAAAAAGTCCATATTAAAATGTAAGAAGGAAAATAATGTTTTAAAATTTAAGAGATGATACATGTCTACAATTAGCCTTTCTTTAGTGTCTTGGTATCTATCTTTGTATTCTAGGTGTCTAAGTGACTATGAAAGTAGTTTCTGGTTAAGCAATATGTGTTAAATTTAAATATTTCCAATTTCTTTAAACTTGTATCATATAATTGATTTATACCAGTACTTCCTGAAGTATCATGGCCATCCTGTTTGTGTTGAGAGGCTTTGTATCCCTCAGGCTTTGTAGCCTCTTGTAGTACCACGTATAAATACTATAAGAATTTTGTGTATCTTGAGGGAAATAAGTTTGATTTAAAACACTCTTCTTCTGGAAGAATTCAGCATTTTGGCATGCATGATCTTTCAATTTTAAGGTTCTAAGAAGCAGGATGCATTGCAAAACTAAAATACATATTTACTTTTTTCCGGGAAAGATTTTAGGCTGAGTTACTTTAGTGTAGCTTTGATAAAATTTCTCAAGAAGGTAACTTAAGGGAGAAAGTGCTTATTCTGGGTCACAGTTCAAGAGTAAAGTTGATCTTGTTAAAGCAGCAATAACTTGAAGCAGCATGTCACATCACTTTCACAGGTGGAAAGCAGAGAGAGAGAAAGAGAGAGAGAGAGAGAGAGAGAGAGAGAGAGAGAGAGAGAGAGAGACTTGAGCACAGCTTACTTTCTCTGTCTTATCCAGTCCAGGATCCCCTACCCAGGGAATGATCCTGTTCACAATTAAGATGGCTCTTTCCACAGAAATTATTATAATCATGATATGCTTCCACAAGCATAGCCAGAAGCCTAATTCCTATGTGATTCTAGATTCTGTCAAGTTGACAATCAACACTAACCATCACAACTCCATCCCTTGCTAACTGGACACTGAAACACAACACTTTTATGCCATAGCTTTCTACCCCTTGATTACGTAAGCTCATGACCATGTTATAATGTAAAATGCATTTAAGTCCAAGTTTGAACATCCCCATAGCCTTTATAAATTTTAATTCTTTAAAAGTCCAAAATCTCTTAACTGTGAGCTCCTATAAAATAAAAAGAAATGAAATAAAACAAATACTTCCAACATAATAATGACAGAGAATAATTATTCCTATTCCAAAACTAAAGAACCAGCATATGGCAAGAAACAATCATGTCAAAGTGAAATAGAAATCCAGCAGTGTAAACACTAAATCCTGAAGCTCCACATCCAGCATCTAGAGCTTATATTGTAATAAACTGGGCTAAAAAACATTTGGGCAGCCCCACTCCGCTACCTCTGCAATATGCAAAACATACAGATCCTCTTATAGGCTAGCCCTACTCCATGCTCACAGCTGTCCATACTGGATGTTCCATGTTGCTGACATTTCCACTGTCTTGGGGTCTCCACTTCAAGGATTCATCCTTACAGGTTCACACAGCCACCTCTTGGGGTCTCTTGCCAGGGACTCCAACCCATCCATACATCCTCTGACCATTATGTTCTCTGAAACTGTAGAGCAGTATGTTATGATCCCCTCAATCTTGCATCTTTCAGGTCCCTAAATCTAGCACAATGTGGATTACACTGCCAAATTTAGCTGCTAGATGAGAGAGAATGAAGCCTCTGATGGGTAGGGATTTGCTCTTAAGACACCTTTCTTATTGTCCCAATGCAGCACAAAAGTTTTCTTTTCTTTAGTACTGATGTCTTTAATATGTATAGCTGCTTTCTCAGTACCAGCCTGAATGTTCTCCTGTCTTGAAATCTCTCTTGCTGAACAGGTTAAACCATTATCTTTAAATTTAGCTTGATGCATGTTCTCAGGACATGGGCATAATGAAGCCGGATTCTTGGCCAAAATATCACACTGATGGCCTCTAATCCAATTCCTAATAGAGTCCTGTTCCCTTTGGAACCCTCATGAACTAGCCTCCTCTGTCTTCATTTCTCTCAGCATTCTTATTTTCCATGCTTCCAACAGAATGACCTATCAAGTTCTGCTTATAGCACTTGGGGGCTTTTCTAACCCAGAGTTCCAAAATTTTCTACCTTCCTCCTGCAAACCAGTTCCAAAACTTAAAAACCATATGTTAATTTTATCACATCAATGGAACCACTTCTTTCTCAGTACTAATTTCTGACTTGGTTTCTTTTTCTGTTGCAGTGATAGAATCCCCAGAAAAATGCAGTTTAGGGGAGACAGCATTTATTCTGGCTGACAGCTCAAGGACAAAATCCATCATGGTGGTGAAGTCAAGATAGCAGGAATTTAAAGCAGCAGGTCACATCACTTTCAAAGGTGGAAAGCAGAGTGACAGAGTGTACATACTCGTACTCAGCTCACTTTCTCCATTTTATCCAGCCCAGAACCCCCTACCTATGAGATAATCCTGTCCACAGTTAAGATGGTTATTCTCACATCAGTTACTATAATCATGATAATCCCCCACAAGCATACCCAGAGGCTTGTCTCTTCAGGTGATTTCTTTCTGTGCTGTGTATGAATATTATGGCTAGAATACTAGAAAAACAGAGAAGAAACTCAGAATCTTTAGTTCATTTTATCAGATTTAACTGATTTTTGTAGTAAATTGCTATCAATATACAATTAAAGCTCTTCATAGTAATAACATATCTTAAAATAACTATAACTATATAACTGTATATAGTAAGTATATTATATAACTATATAATAACTATATATAGTTATCATTAACTGTATGCTAAGCATTGTACCAACTAAAAAGTACTGGTTGTCCTATTAATTCCTTTTCCCAGACATCTGGGAGTGTTCATGTAGAACATATCCCTCAACTATAACTTTGTAAGTGTTTGAAATGGTAGCTTTCATCCTCAGTTCTCAACTCATAAACACCTGACACTCAGATTTTATGACTTATTGTGGAAAATTTTGAGATTATACAAATTTAGAGGGTGCTTAGTAGACTAAAGCCCCTTATGCCTATCTCCAACTTCCAAAAATTGAATACTTTGAGTTTTATTCAACCCCTAAGCCACCACTATGTTTTTAAATGTTTTACAGTAAATGAAGACATCATTCATTCCACCAATGAAAACTTAAGCATTATGCCATTGTCTCATCTTAAACATTTAGAAAAAATTTAAATTCAGTTTACATTTAGATTTTCTCAAGTCATAATTTTTAGCTGACTTTAATTAATGAATTATTTTAAGAGATAATCAAGGAATGTTGTTATTTTTCATTACTAATACATAGAATTTAATGTTTCAATCTATTGTAGTTATTATTCAGTTTGAAGCCCATATTATTCCACCCTTGACCCTGTAGGAGTCATTTCAAGCTTGGTTCATATCCACTATCCTTTTTACAAATCCTTTTTCATTATTCATCATTGATGACTTGCTTACTAGCATAAGACCTTTCAGAATCATCTGCATTTCTTTTACAAAGCTTGTATCATAATTCTGTAATCACCCATTTTGAGTATCATATTGTGTTCTCTAATTTCTCGTGTACCTTTGGGATTGATTCATAGAAGTGAACTGTCAGCTGAAGGAGTGTATGCATGTACATATGTGCTAGTTATTTCCAAGTTTCCTGACGTATCATTTGAGTGCATGTTAACTGTGTGAGAATGCCTTTTTTCCTATAGCCTCAACAAAAGACTATGTTGTCAAATCCTGTTTGGCCAGACTTGATGGAAATTTAATTGAAAGTGGTTTGGGGTTGATCACAGTAATGCCCTCATGGCAGATGTATTTGATTCCTTCTCATCTCCCACTGAATTCATTAGTCACAAACCTGAAATAACTATCTGTTAGAACAGACATTTCATCCACTGCTTTGCTTATAGCTACTAAGTGCAAGTAAGAAAATGAGCCCGCAAATAGGAGTCACCTCTACAGTATTTGTAAAAGATTTTAAAAACAATGATAAGAAAAAGGTTTTCTGTAGTTGTTGACAACAGTGAATTCTAAAAGTCCATTAGACAAATTTTTTCCATTTTTAATCTAAATATACTTTTGAGATAGGCTTGCCAGCAGTTCAAGGAATTTATTTATTCTTATAGGGTCCTCCTGGACTTCCTGGATTTCCAGGGACACCAGGTCTTCCTGTAAGTACGATTTTGCTTATTTTAAAATTCCTTAAAATGTAATCTAAGAAGTATTCTAAGTGTTTTATGTGCCTTCTCAAAGGGAATGCCAGGCCATGATGGGGCTCCAGGATCTCAAGGTGTCCCTGGATGCAATGGAACCAAGGTGAGATTTGTTGAAATTAGTAGTATTCAGTATGTTGATCATAATAGACATAAAAGAATGAAAAATGTTGAATAAGAGCTAGAATTGCTTTGTGTCTGAGACACAAGGTTTATTCTGACTTCATATTTTCAAATACATCAGTAATTCATTTAACCCGTCTAATTAGCGACAATAGTACTTTGAGTTAGAGATTGCCTACCATATCTTTTCATAACATAGTATGAGAATTAAAAAGATACTAAGATGTGTGTTTCATGTACTATATAAGTTGTTATGTAATACTTAGTTTCTTTTACTGGTTTTGCTTTTTTTAAAAAATGGTACAAGGGGCTGGAGAGATGTCTCAGCTGTTAAGAGCACTGACTGCTCTTGTGGAGGACCCAGGTTCAATTCCCAGCACCCACATGGCAGCTAGCAACCGTCCTTGACTCCAATTCTAGGGGAATTCGATACCCTCTTCTGACCTCTGCTGGCATTGCATGACATGGGTGCTATTACATACATGCAGGCAATCAACACACTCATACACATAGAAAAATAATAAAAAATAAAAAATAGTTGCAAGTAGAGTTTCTAATACTTCATGGTTTTTCTTTTTTCTCTCTTTTTCTTTCTTTCTCTTCTTTCTTTCTTTCTTTCTTTCTTTCTTTCTTTCTTTCTTTCTTTCTTTCTTTCTTTCTTTCTTTCTTTCTTTCTTTCTTTCTTTCGTCTTTTTGAGACAGGGTCTCCCTGTAGCCACAACTGGCCTGGAACTTGCTATGTAGACCAGGATGGCCTTGAACTCACAGAGATCCTCCTGCCCCTGCCTCCAGAGTGCTGGGATTAAAAGCATGAGCAACCACACCCAGCTCATGGTTTAATTTTTTAAAAACAATTTTTATTGTATTCTATTTGTTATGGTGTGTGTGCGTGCGTGTGTGTGTGTGTGTGTGTGTGTGTGTGTGTGTGCTTATTTAAGTATGTGGGTTCATTTATACCATGTGGCATATATGGAGGTCAGAGGACAGTAGGTATTGAACTCAGGTTGTCAGGCTGGGCAGCAGCTGCCTTCACTCACTGAGCCATCCCTCATTCTTTAATTTATTAACATCCTTAACTGTTAGTGTGAAACCCAAAACTTTTTCTTCATCAAAAATAGCACATTTAACAATTTCAAAAGAAATCCAAACTTTGGATACTGGTGAATATTTTTTGCTTCATTGCTTTACTTGATTTTAATTAATCATTTATCTTTGCTATACAGCAATAGATAATTAGGAAAAAATGAAGAAAGCTTGCTTTTCTTGTTAACTTAGGTATTGTAGTCTTTATTTTTATTTTATTGGTTTCCCCCCCTTTTCTGTTACTTAAGTGTACTATTACAATATATTTTTCTGTTTGGCATTTTCTGTTTTCAGCAAAATAGTCTATAAAACTGGGGACTGGAGAGATGACTCAGTGGTTAAGAGCTCTGATTGCTCTTGCAGAGGAGTGTTCGATTCTGAGCACCAACATGGTGGCTAACAACTGTCCTTAACTCCAGTTCCAGAAGATCCAAAGCCTCCTTCATACCTTTGTGAGCACTGCAAGACATGGGTGCACATACATGCAGGCAGTACACTCATACCCATCAAATAAAAATAATTTTTAAAAACTATGTTATGTCCTATATCTTTTAAATTAATGACGTATGCCAGATTTTGCATTAATTATTTTTGCATTACAATGGGCACATTTTCTGAGGTTTTTTTTTCACATATATCAAAGAAACACAATTTTTTTTGACTCAAGTATTTCTCCAGGTCACTGTAATATTTTTCAATAGTAATAATAATCAAAACAAGTATCGTTTTTTAGGCAGAGTTTTACTGTGTAGGTTGGGATGACCTGGAGCTAGCTATATAGACCAGGCTGGCCCCGAACTCACAAAGATCAGCCTGCCTCTACTTCCTGAGTGCTAGGACTAAAGTCATTCACCACCCATCCTGGCAATACAGTTATAATTTTTTTAAATGTCTAGATTTGTGAAGGAAATTACTGAATTTGTGAGATTTATTGGTGTTCTTCATCCCAGTTCAGGCATCCTTTGCTGACAGGACAATTGGGAAGTTTGTTTGCATGGCACATTTCATGAGAAAGTGGACTACATTCTTGTGACTATTTTGGTTATTTGATTATTTGTTTTCTTGCCAACATGCCATAAGCAACAAGATCAGTAATCAAAGTTTTAAATAAGAATGTCAAATATTACACGTACATAGAAGAAGGAAATACACATAAACACATAAGATAAAAATAAAACATTAAATAAGAATGGTTATGTACTCCTTTAATCCCAGCACTCGGGAGGCAGAGGCAGGCAGGTCTCTGGCCAGCTGGGGCTACAGGGAGACCCTGTCTCAAAAAAGACCAAAAAAACAAACAAACAAAAAAGAATGTCAAATATATGTGTATTGTAAACTGTGTGATTAAAGGTATCTTGTTTAATTTTTACAAAGTAGTGCTGTAGCAGATCTAACAGTGTTTTAAACCATCACTTATGTAATACATTTTATGCAAACTAAGTGAATTCATTACATATACTTCCAATTTCTTTTTTCTTTTTTGGTCTATTTGAGACAGGGCCTCCCTGTAGCCACAATTGGCCTGTAACTCCCTATGTAGAGCAGGCTGGCCTGGAACTCACAGAGATCGACATACAACTGCCTCCTGAGGACTGGGATTAAAGGCAGCCCAAAGTAGATTATTTTCTTATACTTCTCACTAAGTATGTAAAAAACTAATCCCAAAGTTACATCCACAATTCATGGGTTCTTTAAAAAAAGTTCTTCTAAACTTGATGTGAAAGAATGCTGCCTTTCTCTCTGGGCCTACTTTTTCCATGTATGAAAAGTGATGGAGAGAAGGGCATTGGACAGTAATTCAAAAGCACACAGGTATAGAAATTTTACTCTTTAAACTTTCTGAACTACTGATTTCTAGAATCAATGTAGCATATATAGATATTTGAAAAAAAGTTTGCTTTGGTGTTCTTCTACTCCAGTTTTAGCTTTTGTTTTCTAAACCAAATATCTGCATTACTACTTTACAATAGTGAGAGAGAAAAAAAATTGAGTGTCCCCAAAATAATGACATGCAACTGCTAGAACTGATGCTATTGTCATCTTGGTGTATCATCCTTACCATCTTTCCATTTTTATAAAAATAATTTGAAATAGTTTACAATAAAGGAAAAATGAAGTGCAGTTAAAATAAGAATCTATACAACACATGGTCTGGAAATTGGGCAAATCATTAACTATTAAACGTGATGATTGTCAGGAATCTGTGGTGTGATGGTCTCAAAATAGATTTTTCAGAAGAAAATTACTATAGTAGACTTTTTCCCTTTATATTTGATTGAGACAGATGAGTGGGGATAAAAGTATCTTAGTAGGTTGTATTGATGTAGATAGTTGATACTAAAGTCATTGGAACAGGAAAGGTAATGAACTTTTGGCAATCTGGTATGTTTCAAATGTCTTTTAGGGAAAGCTTTTCAATAAATCATTGTTTTTATAGTTACTTCTTGTTTCTTCTTCTTCTTTTTTTTAACTCCTTCTAGGGAGATCGTGGATTTCCAGGCAGCCCTGGTTTTCCGGGTTTACAGGGTCCTCCAGTAAGTTCTAATATTCAAATTTATAGAAGTAGAAATATAAAGTGAGTTCATAAGGAACAGAGTCACATATTTTAAAGGAACAACTCATAATTTTTAAGTGGCTAAAATAGCTGCCTGCTGAACAAAACCAAGAATTTTATGCTATTAGATATAAATGATACCTCTAAATATCCCACAATATATAATATTCTGAAATGATCCTATAGAAGTTTATTTGGTTTGTCTTCTATTTATAAAGAATGTACTCTTTTCTTTATTCCTGTCCAATTTGCATAAATATTCTCTTTTGTTTTGATATTAGGGGCCTCCTGGAATCCCAGGTATGAAGGTAAGCATCCCAGCTGAGAAGGTAGAATTTGAATAAAATATGTAGAAAGTCTCAAAATGTGTGTTCTGAATTTCTTTTCTGACACTCTCAGACTTCATCTTATTACACTTTGATATGATTAACCATTGGACCCCTCTAGTATTCTTTTTCACTGGCTTCTGTAACTCTCCAGTTTCCTAATTTGTCTTCTACATCTTTGATAGTTCTGGATTCTTCTGTACAAACCCATTGTATTCTGTCTAATAGTCATCAAGTCAAGACATAGGCCTGTCCCCTTCTCCTCTGTGCTTGGCAACATTAGTAATGCTCAGAGTATTTAATGATGACTTTGTAGTAACTGAATAGCTCTGTTTATATCTTCAAACCAGATTGTTTTCTGAGTTCAGAATGTATGTGTTCAACAGCCTCCCTAATATCTCTACTCAAATATATGCCAGATGCTCAGATTAACAGGTTTGAATTTAAACTGTGTCCTGTGCCCTTAAATAATCCTTCTCTCCTCTCTCTCTCTCTCTCTCTCTCTCTCTCTCTCTCTCTCTCTCTCTCTCTCTCTCTGAACTTTTGTCATTATATGTCACTTTATAAAGAAGGATGTTTTCATTCTTTGAAAGTTTCATACTGGTATGCTATGTATTTTGATCATATAGCCCTTATTCCTCCCCTAACTCCTCCCCAGACCCACTTTTGTCCCCTCCCAAACACTATGTCCTCTTTTTTTTTTTCGTAATTTCCTGAATCTTGCTGCTTATATACTCATGGATGTGGGACTATCCACTGGAACATGGTTTACCTATTAGAGGCCACGTGCTTAGAGAACACTAACTCTCTTTCTCTCTAGGGGCTGGAGAGATGACTCAGTGGTTAAGGGTGCTTACTACTCTTCCAGAAGACCTGGGTTCATTTATTAGCACCTACATGGTGGGTAACAACCACCTATAACTCCAGTTCCAGGGGATACGGCCTCCAAAATCACCCGGCATGCACATGGTGCACTTTTGTACATTCAGGCAAAATACTCATACACATAAAATAAAAATAAATAAAAGTTTAAAGAGAAAAAGAAAACTTACTCTCCCTCCACTAGTAGCTCTCAGCTGTTCAGAACTCTTCACTTAGGGGTGGAAGTTCTTGAACACCTCCCTCATCCATGCTGGAGTGTTGACTGGCTTGATCTTGTACAGGTCTTATTCAGGCAGTCACAGCTGTTCTGAGTTCAAAAATACAGCAGTCCTGTTATGTCTAGAGGACACCATTTTCTAAACCTCTGACTCCACTTTCAAGGTAGTTTCCAAGCTTTGGAGGAAGGGAATGTAGTATAGTCGAGCACTCCACTGACACTTATTCTTTGTACTTTGACAAGTTGTGAGTTTCTGCCATAACCACCATCCATAATACAAAGAAACTGATGACATCTGAGGGCTTCATTAGTCTATGGGTGTATAGATGCAAATTTAGAATTCAATTTTATACATATCCATTTAAGCAGCATAATAGTAATAGGTTTGGCCCTGGGACCTATGAGTTCCTCAAGCCATGGGTTCTTGGCCAGATTTACAATACCAGGCATGAGTTTCCTCCTGTGTATTTTGCCATAAATCCATCAGAAAGCAGTTGATTATCCCCATAGTATTTACTCTACTTTTGCACACATGGGCATATCTTGCCATGTGGAACATACTTATAGCTCTCACAGTGGGCAGCTAAGTAAGACTATTGATGAGTTTTCTTCCCCAGAAGACTTCATAGCACCTTCTGGTACTATAAAGTCTTGCTAACAGGGAGGAAATCTCTTAGTCATAACCAAATTTATTTCTCTGTGTCCTGTAACCAAAATGAGTTATGTCTTCAGCCATGGGGTCCTACCAGCAAGTTCTGGTGGGCAACTAGGAGCTATGAAATAAACTTGTATTTTTTGGGGCATGTGCATCTCTGGAAAACTCTTCAGTGACACCCCTGGGAGAGGTATCCTACACCTGGCACTGGGCATTTTATTTTTGCTGTGGGTTCTAGGAATAGCATTATCCCCTTTGTAAAGAAGCACCAATTAAACTCTTATATAATATGTATGTGATATTAAAAATATTATGTTTCCATATGCTTTTTTCAAATGTCCTTAGTTTTAGTTATCCCTCCCTTAATTATCTCATCTGCCCTACCCTCCCATACCTCTCACCATATAAACCTTCCTCCAGTTACTCTCCTTTTCCTCTTAATACCACCTGTGTTCTACTATCCTCCCTCCCTTAAGATTTTTTTTCCTCCTCCACTCATAATATCCCTTTCTAGTTTCCTGACTTCTATGAGTAATTCAAGTTAAGCACAAAAATCTAGAAATTGGAAGTTAAAATCTATATGTTAATGAGAGAGTCTGTTGCATTTATCTTCCTGCAACTGGGTTACCTCACTCAGTACAATATTTTCTAGTTACATTCATTCACCTGCAAACTTTATAATTTCATTTTTTCTTTACGGCTGATTAAAGTTCCACTATGTTTAGGAACCACATTTTCATTATCCATTTGATGGACATCTAAGCTGTTAGGCTGTTTTCATGTCCTAGCACTTGTGAATAGAGCAGCTATGAACATGGATGAGTGCATATCTCGTGTAGTAGCATGTGAAGTGCTTTGGGTATATGCCCAGACTGATATAGCTGAGTCACATAGTAAATCCAATTCTAGCTTTTTGAAGAACTGGCACATTGACTTCCATAGTAACTGAACTTGTTTGTACTCCCACTAACAGCTCATGAAAGTCCCCCAATCATGTCTTCACCAGCATTTGTTCTCATTTGTTTCATTTTTTAAAAAATATTTTATTTATTACTTTTATTCTATGTGTACGAGAGTGTTGCTTGCATGTATGTAAGTGCAGCATGTCTTGCAGTGTCCGTAGAGGTCAGAAGAGGGCATCAGATCCCCTAGAACTAGAGTTATAGACAGTTGTTAGCCACCATATGGGAGCTGGGAATAGACCCCAGGTCCTCTGCAAAAGCAGCCAGTGCTCTTAACTGCTGAGCCATCTTTCCAGGCCAGTTTTCTTAATCTTAGCCAATCTGAGTGAAATAAGATGTAATCTGAAAGTATTTTTATTTTTTAATTTATTTTTATTTACCTTATTGAATTTTTGCAATTTTTATACAATATAATTTCATGATATTTAGATCCCTTTTCCTATCCATACCTCTCCTTATTGTCCCTTGCCCAATTTAATGTATTCTATTACACACGCATGCACACACACACACACACACATTTAATTTGCAACCTCCCAGATGACTAAGAATGCTGAACATTTCTTTTTTATAAGCATTTCTTAGCTATTTGTATTTTTTCTTTTAAGAACTCTCTGTTTAGTTCATTTTTCATTTTTCAATTGGCTTTATTTCTTGGTGTTTTTCTAGATCTTTATATGTTCTAAATACTAATCCTTTGTCAAATGTATAGCTGGCAAAGGCTTTTCCCATTTTTCAACAGTTTCCTTTGCAGAATAGAAACTTTTTTTAATTTCATGAGGCCCCACAGTGATAGTTGGTCTTATTTCTTAGAAGACCTATTCATAAAGTCTTGACTTGTTTTATATCCTGAAATGTACCCCTTATTCTTTGCTCTAGAAGTTTCAGAGTTTGAGGTCTAACATGGAAATCTTTGATCTATTTAGAATTGAATTTTGTGCAGGGATGGAGGGAGAGAAGGACAACATTTCATTCTTCTACATGTAAATACCCAGTATTCCCAGAGCCATTTGTTAAAAATGCTGCCTCTTCTCCAATGTGTATTTTTGAAATCTTGTTTAAAAAAAAGAAAAAAAAAACATAAACAGAACAACAACAACAAAACACATGTATGTATGTGTGTGGCTGTATATCTGGGTCCTGCTCCTGGATTCTATTCCATTGATCAATGTGTCTATTTTTGTGTCAGTGCTCTGCCATATTTACTATTATGTCTCTGTAGTATTCACGTCTTTCATTCTTTTCATCTAAACACCTTTCTTTCAGTCTATCACTGAATATTGGGTTTGCCTATAAAACATATTTTCAATTTATCCACTTTTCTCCTTGACTCTCACCACAATAATTGTGACATCTTATTTGAACTACAATAATAACCACGTAACTAATCTGGAGAAAATTTTTGCTACTGTCCCCCACTGCTTAGCTTGATTTATCCTCAATGAAACAAGAATTAACTTTGAAAATGTCAACCAATTGTTTACTGTCCATGCACATAAACCTTCAAAGGCTTCTCACTGTGTGTATAAAATAATGAAATAATGACCAACTTTTCTGTAGCTTATGAGAACTGTGCGTTCTGGTCCCTTGCCTAATTCATAGGCTTATCTTAAGTTTCCTTTTCTTTAGATCAGTAATCCCACTGGTCTACAATTCAGCTATTTGAGGATTTAAAACATATTATTTTTAGTAACTGCTATGAAAACAGGGCTTCATGCATGCTAGATAAGCACTTTACTACTTAGCCAGGCCTGTATTCAGTTATTTATGATAATCTGCCTATTCTTCAGGCTGAGATCTGCATATTCTCTTCACAGGTTATTCTTATTTGACTACCCAAACTAGTTAGCTTTGTGTATTTTTGACTGTGCCATTTCGATTTTCTTTATAGCCCTTGAAAGACTATGTTGTTGTCTTGTTTACATGTTATGGTCTCTATTTCTCCATTATTTTGTTACCCTATAAGGAAGTACATTCTTCTTTCTTCATTACCACCTTCCCAGAGCCCAACACAATTCTTTCCAATACTTTCCACCTAATACATACTTTTAGTGAATGAGTAACTAATGGCACCACACGCTCCTAATAAATCTGTATTTCAGCATCCTCTGGCTAATTGTTAATTTGCTTTTCAAACATACATTTGTTCATGGAAATGCTGATATGGCTTAATCTTTACCCATATTTATGTAATGACTCAAACTCTCAGGTGATTACTTCTGCTCTTTCTGATTTTCATGTATAGTAACATACAACTTCTATTGATGGTTTCCTTTAGGGGGAACCAGGTAGTGTAATCATGTCATCACTGCCAGGACCAAAGGGTAATCCAGGCTACCCAGGGCCTCCTGGAATACAAGTAAGTGATTTTCTTCTTTACTACATGACTAAATTAGAGGATTACAGCAAATCATTGACCTTTAGTACTCTCTGTTTTAGCTATAGAAGTGATCATCTCAAAGTTACCAGGCATCAATATGTTCTTTCTGTCTGAAAGTAAAACAGTATAGGACAGTGAAGGTTTAAATAAGTAGTATTGCATTTTTTGAAAATTTCTATCCCGAATCCATGGATATTTGTGTGAAAGAGGGTTGGCTTTAGAAATAACTCTCTTCAGTCTTCTTAGAGGTAGAAAAAAGAGTTCACTATAAATGTTCTTCTACAAATAAAATTAATTGATCTCTCATTTAGAGTATTAGAGATGTCATTTGTAACAGAATCAACTATGCATGACATGTGAGCATACTTTGAAGGCTGAATGAATATAATTATACATGATAAACATCAAATGCAATCTTTTGAAAAGATCGTGTTAGTTTATAGATAGTAGAGATAGAGCAAGTAATGACTTTTGAGTGTTTATAGATGAAGCCCATTATAGTTCATGAGAATCACTCACTTTACCAAAAATAAAAATCAAGAGTTTTTGCTATTTTATCACCAAGATACTATGCTGAGGTCTTTTTTTCATTTGTCACCCTCTCAGTTTTTACTTGACATTACCTATCTATATTTAAGTTTACTCAATTTCTATTTATTGTTCATGATATTTATTATAAATATTTGAAATATACCAGGGTACATGTAAAATATATGTTGATGAAAAACAAAATGAACACTTTCGAACCCAAAAGAATATTAAAGAAATAAACACTACAAATAATTTTGAATCAATTGGGCCTTTCGTGGTGGTCAAAATCCTTCTGTATTTCCTCAAAATATAACTAGCATCTGAGTTTTCTGTTGTTTCTAAAAAGACATTATTGTTTTATACACATGTCCCTAAACAATAGTGTTAGTTTTTCTTTATAATATGTGATAGCTGTGTAATTTTCCTCAACTTGTCTTTTTTACTTGGTGTGTTGAGGTTCATTCATACTGTATTTGTAGTTTGTTTCTTTTACTTCCATATAAATTTCCACTTCATACTGTAATTTCTTTAATTACAATATAATATAGGATTTACACAGAGTTAGAATTGTTGGTTTACATGGCAGGCAAATTTATAATTTTTATGGTGCCAAATTATATGTCTCAACACCTGCAGTATTCCCTTATCAGTATTTCATTTCTGTCATTCTTTATTTTTTAGTCTAAAATTAGCAAGAAAAGAATAGTGTTTCTTTTCCATTTCTAATATAAGTGCCTGACTGAATACCTACATTGGTTGCTTTGTAGTTTTTCCTTGTGGGTTTAACCTACATTTTATCTATCATTGTAGAATAAAAACTTTCTAAAAGCTGTTTCTAGTCTCTTTAGTTGAATTACCGTATAAGTTACTTAATTCTTCTGTTTGTATAATTTTTCAGTTATTTAATATTGCATATGTACAGAATTATGAAAATTACTTGTTTCATACATTTAGTTCTTTGTGAGACACAGTAAGTGGTTTAGTTCAGAGTTTCTGCTTTCATTTTGTTTTTCATCCATTCTTTACTCCTTTTATGACAGGGTCCAGCTGGTCCCAAGGGTATATCAGGGCCAATTGGTCCCCCAGGACCTCCAGGCTTGATGGTAAGCTTCTGTAATTTTAGGTCTCTTTTTCTTTATGAGTTACAAATATGATTACAATTTGAATTGCTTGAAATTTCAATATTCACAGTTTTACTTTTGTTGTTTGAGGTTGATTTTATGGTAAATAGTACACATGCTAAGAAGAGCTCCAGTTTTTTCACACAGATGAAAAAATGAGATACATAAAAACAAATAAAGTGGAGGCTGGACATACAGCTCAATGGTAGAGTGCCTGTTTAGCATATACAAAGCTTTGTTATCTGAAGCACTGTAAAAAAATTAAGTTGGTATGTGTGTATATGTGTGTGTGTGTGTGTTTTTTTTGTGTGTGTGTGTGTATTGTACGTGTGTGCTGGGAGTCCAAACCAGAGTCTTGTGTAAGCTGTATTTCCAGTGCTAAAATGAAGATTTTTATGGATTGCATTTTGATATTTCAGTAGTGTAGTCAATTCCAACTTTGTCTGGAAATATTGGAAGGCATTATTCTATCTTCGAGTTACTCAACAAAATATGTTTATTCAAAGTGTATTTTTTGGGTTAAGAAGAGTAAAAACAAATTTGTAAAAATGGCTCTCATTTCTTAGAAGGTAAAGGCAAAACAGTAGAGTTAACAAAGGGTGTCAACATTCTGAAGTTCAATCAGTTCTGTGTAGCCTAGGAGAGAGTCAAAAGCTTTCTAAAGACCCTGACAGTACTGAGAGTTCACTTGCTATACTATAGTGTAGTGTGGTCACCTTTAGTTTCTTCCTTAATGAATGTTAAGTATTTTTATTCCTATAATATTTAGATTTCATGCTAGTAACAATTTGAAATTAGACTTTTGCTGTTGCCCTCTTATAAGGCAACAAAGTTGTATTTCAGTCAAAGTAATTTCTCACATGTCACTTTGTCTCCCATTCAGCATATATTTAAGCAAAAGTTTTCATTATACCTTTATGAATAATCCACTTGTGATAATTTGTCTTTTACTCTTGAATGGAAGAAAGAATGAATGGTCCTTTACTCTTGAATGGAGGAAATAATGCTTAGTAAATTTTACAAGAATCTGCTGGAACTTCTTGGGAAAGGATTAGACAAGGTTTTTTTGTTTTTTCCCAGTTTGTTTTAATTGACTTTGACCTGTCACACTTTTTTATATTTCTGTTGTTGCAACATTGGTGCTGTCTGGGTCTATTGTTAAATCTTGATTTGTTAACCCTTGTAAGTAAAACACTTAACCAATCCACTCTACTCTTCTGAATATTCCTTCAATTAACCATGATTCAGTAGATAAGGCAACATCTTAAAAAATGGAACTTAGGTGTATTATGTAAATAAACAGATCTGCTAAAGTTCAGAGTAATATACTTAAGCAGGTGAATGCCCATTTAATCTTTCTTTTTTTAAAGAAAAATTTAGTTTTTAGAATTTTAGACATGCACGTGTACCATGAAGTACGATCATATTTAAAATTCTGGCACCCACATTTCCCCTCCACCATTTCCCATATCCCTCTTAACAGGTCCCCCCTCAATTTCATGTCTCTCTTTTTAAATAAGCAATTAAGCCCAGTTAGTGTTGCTTATATGTGCTTGCTATGGTGCAATACACTGGAGCCTTGGACTCTTAGCAGTGGCCACAAACTCCCTTTCCCTAGCTATCAACTGCCAATAGCTCCTCATTAAGAGGTGGGGCCTAAACGTTGATCATCTAACATCTGTGCCAGAATTTTGGCAGCTTCGTCTTGTGTAGGTCTTGTGCAGGTAATCACAGCTGCTGTAAGTCCAGGAATGTGATAGTTCTTGTTCAGAAGAGAGCATTTCATAGCACTCCTTCCATTCTTTAGCTCTTCTATTTGTTCTGCCTCTTCTTCCTTCAGATTCCCTGAGACTTGGTAAAGAATGAGCACTCAGTCTCTCACTCTCAGCACTTAGACCACTTATGCATGTCTCTATTGACTGCTATTCACTGCAAAAACAAACAACAAACAAACAAAAAACCTTCTTTGACCAAGGTTGAGAGCAACCCAGGTGTATGGATATAAACATAAATATTTAGAAGACCCTCAGACAGCAAGACCATTTGACAAAATAACAGTAGTAGGTTCTACCCTAAAGCCCATGACCTCCCCAGCCATGGGCATTTGACCAAGATTACAGTACGAGGCATGAAATTCTCTCATGTGCAGCAGTCTTGAAATCCAATTAGAAAGCAATTAGTTACCTCTTAACAGTCATGTTATGATTGCACGAGGGAGCACATTTTTCCTGGCTGGTCAGTGTTGTCACTTGCAGGGTCTAGCACTGGATAAGACCATTGATGTCTTTTCTCCACCAGCAGCCTACATAGAAAATTCTGGCACTATGTAAGCTGACTGGCAGGGAGGAAAATTCCTGGTTAGTTTGAGATTGGTTTCTCTGCATCGTGCAACCAAAGCGTGTGGTGTCTTCAACAATAGTGTCTAACCTTGTAGTTATGGAGGGTAGCTAGGAAATGCCCATTTAATTTTTCAAACCTTGAAACAGTCTCAGAAATATAAACACAAATTTTATGTAACAAAGATGGCTTACAAATGAACACATGCTTTTCAGAACTCACTTTATAGTTTAAGGTACCTCATTACCCATAATTCTGATAGAAATAATAAGCTTGTGGAAATTAACATTTTTACCTCTTTGTAGTCCTGGTGCTACCTACCCCTCTCTCATACCCATCTTAACTTTCTGCCCCTGCCCATTCTCATTTTATTACAGAAGTTTTTCATTTGCTTTAATCAATTGAAATATGTGCCTTTGAGTAAAAAATAACCAGAAGAAAACAATAAGAACTTTTGTAGTTACACAGTATTCTAGGCAGTTGCTTTACTGCTGAGCTATATCCCTAGTCTTATAAATTTTTTGATGGACTCTTTCAGTTCCCATATTTTATAAACCAAATAATGTTAAAGAAAAATCTTCATAGAATGTTTTTCTTTTTTGTGTGTCTTCTAAGGGCCCTCCTGGACCACCAGGACCACCAGGACCAAAGGTAATTTTCTTTCCCTTAGGTATTTTATTTTGGATTACTTTTTCTTGTTGGTAATGAAATTTTAAACCTAAATTTTTCTGTTCAGGGGAATATGGGCCTAAATTTCCAGGGACCCAAAGGTGAAAAGGTGAGTTAAAAAAAATCTGGTTATTCAACCTTTCATACTCGTTTGTCCTTCTTTTTGTTCCCTTGTTCCTTAAAATTGACAGAGTTTACATGCAGTATTATTATTTGTAGTAGACTATGAAATCTCACTGTTATTTTGTCTTATAAACAGGGTGAGCAAGGTCTTCAGGGCCCACCTGGACCACCCGGACAGATCAGTGAACAGAAAAGACCAATTGATGTAGAATTTCAGAAAGGAGATCAGGTGAGTGTCAAAGATTTCGATGTGGATGTATTAATTTGCTTGATTGTGATAACTATTTCACAATGTATTTATGTATGTATTAAAACATTACATTGTACATCTTGATATATACAGTTTCTGACAATTATAACTCCATAAATAAAATTTAAAAACATTCAAAATAAGATTTAAAAATTTATGATAACTCTCATTTCCAGCAAAATACGCTATAAGTAGAACTATACTCTTACATGAAGTTGCTTTGTTCAATAACAAGTATTTGAGATAATTTAAATTTTTATGAAAAGCTTTACCAGGATATCATTTATATTGCATGTAATTAATGCTTAAAGTGTAATGTTTCATTTTTAATGAATGAAATTTAATGAAAAGTTCATTTTTAGTCACCAGGTAGTAAAACTATTTCCACAATCTGAGACTCTGATCAGTTCTGTCTAAAAATTTACACATACTAGTTTTCATTTCATGTTTCTCCCCAAACTCCACTTTCTGCTTCTTTGTCTGTGTATTTATTTGTCTATTCTTTTTTCTTGCTTGTTTGTTTGAGACTGGGTCTCCATGTAGCCCCAGCTGGACTGGAACTTGCTATGTAGGCCAGACTGACCTTGCTCTCACAAACATTCACCTGCCTCTGCCTCCCGAGTGCTGGGATTAAAGGTATACACCACCATGCCCAACAGATTTATCTGTTCTTGATACTTCATATGAATAGTATCAGTCATACAGTATGTGGTTTTCTGTTCCGGATTTTTTTCTTAAATAAGGCATAATGTGTCCAAGTTCAGTCATTTTTCGCATGTGTTGGTACTTTATTATTTTTATGACTGAATAATATTCGAGTGTGTATATAGTGACAGCTTTATTGATCTATTCATGTGTTGATTGCCATTTGGGTTGTTTCCATTTTTCATGATGGATTTATATTCTTGGCTAAAATTAGGTCATGGCAAGGTAAATTGTCATTGTGTGATACTTTGCTTCTATTAGACTATATAAGGGGATCAAATATACTTTTACAGTGTACTGACTTACCCATAAACAAACAAGATCTATGCAGCTTTAATTCACTTAAATGCTAAAAACAAAATTGATCATAATAGAAAATTTGTATTTAAATTTTAAAATCAATAAGAGTTGAAACATTTTATTATTTGACAAAACATATTGCTGTACAATCTGCAAATCCAGTTTTAGTTACTCTGGCATTTTGTAATTTTTCTAATTAAAAATATTTTTTTGAGTATTTTGCATTCGTGGAAGTGCACCAATGTGTGCAATACCCACAGAGGCCGAAAAAAAAATGGCATCAGATACCTTGGCACTGGAGTTATGGATGGTTGTTAACCACCATTTAGGTGCTGAGATTCCAACCCAGGTCCACTGGAAGAGCAATCTGTGCTCTAGACCATGTAAAAATACACATTAAATAACTGCATTTAGTATTTTTATTTTATGTGTATGATTTTTTGCATGCATGTATGTAAGTACATCATATTCATGCAATACCCATAGAGGCCAGAAAAGAATGCCGGATACCCTGGAATTGAAGTTACAGACAGTTGTTATCCACCATGTGGGTGCTGGGAATCAAATCTGGGTCCTCCAGAAGAACAGCAAGTCTTGATAACCACTGAGCAATCTCTCCAGCCCCCATGTAAAATATTTTATAGGAGTAAAAACCTTATTAAATGTTGTCATGTTATTTGCCTCAATACATAGCTGGTATGGATACTAGATATTAAGAGAAGAAAGATGGCTTTTTTTCGTTTACTTAGCAGATTTTAGTTTGGAGATATAAACATTCTGTTGCCTTATTTATAGTACATGAACCCAAAATTCCTTTAAACATGTTCCTAACTAGTTCAAGTAGTTAAAATGAGTGTGTGTATTCTAGTATTAATTTACCTACATTTTCCTTATACCTGCATAGGGAGTTCCTGGTGACCGAGGGCCTCCTGGACCTCCAGGGATACCTGGTCCCCCAGTAAGTATTCTAAAATGCTTTAGCATCATTTAATATGAACTTGCGTTGATACAGAATATTGCACAGTCCAACGTGAAACTATTTTTTATGTACAGGGCCCTCAAGGAGGTCTGAAAGGTGAAAAGGGTGAGCCAGGAGAGCCAGGCAAAAGAGTAAGTGTTACGACTATTAATAGTGTCTATAAAATCCTCAATATATAAGTGTGTACATTTCTTACTTTCTAAACCTTAATTTCCTTGCCTGAGTATATCACTACAAATATAACATGTTTGTTATAATACTTCACATTTTAAAAGCTTGTTTTACATAGCCCAAGGCAGGAATTATGCTTTTTATATTCCTTAACATCTCACTTCCTCACAAATTTATGTTCTTCCTCCATCTCCATTGTTGCTCTGTGTCCTACAGGGAAAACCAGGGAAAGATGGAGAGACTGGCCCACCAGGAATTCCAGTGAGTAGCTATGGTTTTTCCTTTCATCACAATTTACAGTAGGTGTAGGTGGTGGACAAAGAGTAGATGACAAAAAGGTTGGAGTTTGGAAATAAACGAATGAAATTGTCCTCACTAATTTGAATATAATTTTAAATTATCTCTAAGACATATTGAGGTATGCTTTATTTATTGTCTTAATTTCTTTTACAGTTGCTATGATAAAATACACTGATTAAAAATTCAACTACAGCAAACAAGGGTTTAATTGACTTACAGTTTCAGAGGGATACAGTCCATCATGACAGGGAACACACAGCAACAGGCAGGGAAGGCATGATGGCAGTAGCAGGGAGCTAACTAGTTACATAGCATCTGCACTCACCAAGCCAAGTGTGAACAGGAAGTGCGGCAGGGGTATAAATTATCAAGGCCTGCACCTATTCATTTCCTCCAGCATGCCTCCACCTCCTAAGTGTTCCACAACTTTCCCCAACAGCACCACTCACTGGAGACCAACTTTTGAAACATGTGAGCTTACAGGGGAGATAAAGTCAACCATGTTTAGTGCATAGGGTTTTTTGGGGTGATAAATGGGAAGTTATTTGACCATTACTATGATAAAGAAGAGTTAGTTGCATCACCCTCAAAAGTTTGCTCACACTCATTTATAGTTATCCTCTCTTTACTCTCCCACTCTAAGCTGACAAAAAATGATCTGTTTTCTAGTCCTATAATTTTTCACTTCGTAAAATGTCTTAAAAATTGAGACATTTTGGGGCTGGAGAGATACCTCAGTGGTTAAGAGCACAGACAGCTCTTGCAGAGGACCTGGGTTTGATGCCCACCACCCACATGGCGGCTACAAACCATCCTTAACTCGAGTTCCAGGGGAATCCAAAGCTCTCTTCTGACCTCTGAGGCAGTGTGTGACACGGGTGCACTCACATACATGCAGGCAATACACTCATACACATAAAATAAAAATAATAAATAAAATATTAAAAAATTAAGACTTTTATATACCCTTTTGTTTAAAGTAGCAAAACATACTATACTGCTCATCAGTAGTGCATTCTTTTCATTACTGTAGATTTGGCTATTTTTGATGTACCAAGGTTTCACCCATTTAATTATTGAAGGATACTTTGGTTGTTCCTAAATTTAGGTCATTATGAATAAAACTGCTATGAACATTCACATACAACTTCTGTGCAAAAATAAGAGCTTTTCCAGTAAGCATTTCCTACTAATTCTAATTAATACTAAGAAACTACCATGTGATGTGAATCAAAAGAGGTTTTCAAGGAGAGATAGAAAATTTGATGTTTGTAGGCCATTCCAAAGGAAAGGGAAATTTTCAACAAGGCTGGAAATGATATGTACTAAAATGAGATAAATAAATGGTCTCAAGATAATTTCATTAAATAAGAGATATTTGGCATGTTACTATAAACTAGTTCACAAAAGGTTTAACATATAAAATAATGAGACAAATGTATAGCTTTAGTTACTGGTATCTTTTCAAACAATTGGTCTTCATTTTATGACTCAGGCAGCCATGATATTTAACTGTTACCTCTGAATGTTTTCACCAAATCTCTTAGGGAAAGTGAGGGGTGGGGGGGGCGTTATTCTCTGTTTTAACTGACAGAACTCAAGTCAGTTCAAATACAAAATGGCTTTGCAAGTGGGATCTTCTTGCAAAATGACCAGATAGTTCAAACAGTGACCATGCTCTGGAAGTGAACTTCTAATTATTTCCAATCCTGTTCTTGTCCCCACTTACCCTTGGGCTGTTATTTTCACCTTAGTTGTGCGCAACTGGTTGTGTCAGCTGCTGTAGAGCAGAGAATGGGTGATGAGTACAGACACTTTTTAAAATCCCCCACAAATCTCTGCTTGCTTATTGAGATTTAAAATTTAGAATGAAGAAACAAAATATTCATTAGATTGCTATAAACGTTAATCGACTTCTACAGTTCTGCAAAAATACTGATTTTGATGAACTATCAGTTTTATAATTTCACATGTGTAACTCTTGCATACTGACCACTTTCACACCTTTACCTCCCTTTTCACCCTTCCTTCTCCCTACAGATCTCTCTCATGTTCATCTCTATTAATTTTTTGTGACCTACCAAGATTAACTTGGGCCACCTGTGACTGTAGATTTGGGGTGATCTATTGGAACCTGGTAGGCTCAGCAGAGGTCTCAGAACTAAAGATAGCACTTTTCCCCCCTCTCCTAGTAGCTACTGGAAGTTCAGAGATAAAAAGGAGGGTTTGTGAGCTCCTCCCCATTCCCTATTATTTTTAAGGCTGATCTTGTGTGAACCCAGTGCAGTTAACTATAATTGAGGTGAGTTAATGATTACAATACTTGGATTGAGTCTAGGGGATGGCTTTTTGTAATGCTTCACCCTGTCCTTGGACTCTTATACACTTCATGTCCACTCTTCCTAAGTGCTCCCTGAGCCTTAAAGGAGGTGGTATATATGTGATTTATTTTTGTGCTGGGCCTATATCTATCACTTATTTACTATATCCTAGTGTGCTGGATAGCTTTAGTATCAACTTGACACACCTAGTTTGAGGGAGCCTCAGTTGGGGAATTGCCTCTATTGGATTGGCCTGTGGCCATGTCTGAGGGGCATCTTCTTAATGAGTGATGTGGGAGGGCCCAGCCCACTGTGGGTGATGCCACCCCTGGGCAGGTGGGCCTGTGTGTCATAAGAAATCAGGCTGAGCAGAGGCCAGGGGAGCAAGCCAGTAAGCAACATTCCTCCATGGCCTGTGCTCTAGCTCCTGCCTCCAGGTTCCTGCCCTGAGTTCTTATCTTGGGCTCCCTGATGAACTGTGACCTGGGAGATGTAAGATAAGTAAACCCTTTCCTCCACAAGTTGGTAGTGGTCAGAGTGTTCTGTCACAGCAATGGAGAAACAAACTAGGACACCTAGGCAGCCATGAGTCTTTGCATTCACTACTGCTCATTGGAAGGAGCACCTTCTCTGATCAAGACTAGAAGTCACTTTGGTCTGTGGCTATAAGCCTAGGTATTTAGAAAGCAGTTTGTTCCAATGTCAGTTTAGATAATCATCAGAAATGTGCCCCACACATAGGTGTACTGCAGCCCCAGATCTAGGTTGTTAGTTTCAGCCATTGGGGCTTCAGCCTCCACTGAAGGGGTCTTGCATCCATTCAGAGGGCAGTTCCTCAATAGTCAAATGATTATGTCATAGGTGAGCATATCTTGATTTCTAGGTGGTCTCTTTCTTTTTTTATCATTTAGAATATTTTATCGATACTTCAGGAATCTCACACAATGTATTTTGATCACATTCAGAACCCCCCTCCTCTCTATCCCCACCCTATTACTAAGGATGTGGAATACCTTACATTCCCTTAATAACCATTAATGGCACAGTGTCTTTTGAAACATATTTCTGGAAACCAAAGAGTGGTAGTAGGAGCTGACTAGCAGTCATGTTCAGTGCCCTTTATAAAAATATTTATTTTATTTTGTTTTATTTTGGGGGGATTTCTGATAATGCTACATTCTGAACATACAAAGGGTACAAAATGAAATTTTTTCCAGAATATCTCAAAGGATGGTGCCAGTCTATCATTGTCTGCAAAGCACCTTTGCCTATTGTTGCTGTAGGTCATTTTGTCTCTTAATTAAAGTAAGACACCATATGTCCATAGTTTTGGCCTGTACTGAAATGGGGGTAAAGAAGGTCCCCTAGAGGGTTCTTAGTCTCATTCATAAAAGAATTGAAGAATGGACCCGAATGACAGAAAGCAGGGAGACTCAAAGAGACCTACATGGTCAGAAGTTCTGTGGAGGTCTGTGCTACAAGTCGGAATTCCAGGCAGGAAAAATTTACTACTTCATTAATGCACCAGGTACCCCTCCCATCTATTTAGCACAACTTAAACTGAGCCTTCCTTCATAGGGGTGGTTCTATCACCAGGTGACTGACCAGTGAGATTGGAAAGGTAGGTCCTCCAACAGATAGACTAGGGAATTTATAGTTTTGACCAGTTAAACTTATGGGGCTTTTTACCAATCTAACATTCCCCCCTCTGAAGAGAAAAATCTTTTAGAGATTAAATAAGAGCTCTTAAATACTTTGGACATTTTTGACCTTTGGAACAGAAGAAGTATTTCATTTATTATTTTTATTTTTTGTCTATGAGTGTATTTCCTGCATGTAAGTGCACCCATGCTATGCAGTCCTCACGGAGGTCAGAAGAGGGTGTTGAATTCCCTTGGAACTGGAGTTACAGAAGGTTGTTAGCTGCCATGTGGGTGCTGGGAACCAAACCTGGGTTCTCTGCAGGAGCAGCCAGTGCTCTTAACCACTGAACAATCTCTCCAACTTCCTCTAGGTGTTTCTTTATACACCATTTATCCAAGCTAATCCTCGCCTCCATCTGGCACCCTCATCTTCTTAGTCACTCTGCCTCCCTCCCTGCTTTACTAAACCTTTCCACCCACAGTATTACCCATCTTTACTTTCTTTTTACCTATGTCCTACTATCCTTCCTCCCTTAAAATAAACCCTCCTCCAGATCCTTTCCTTATTTCCTGATTTGTACAGAATTCTGTATGTTAGAAACAACCATACTAAAGAGCTGAAGCTAGAAATGAGAATGAACACGCAATATTTATCCTTTTAGGCCAGTGTTATCCCATTTAGAATGTTTTTCCCCAATTCTACCCACTTTCCCACAAACTTCATAATTTCGTTTTTATTTAAAACTCAGTAATAGCCATTGCTTATATGGGGCACATCTTCTTTATCTGTTCATCAATTGTTGGTCATCTGGGCTGGGTCCATTTCCTAACTATTGTGAAAAGGGCAGCAATGAACATGAATGTTCAGGTATTCATGTCATGGGATCTAGAGTCCTTTGGTTATATGTCTTGGGGTGATACAGCTGGGTCATCTGCTAGTTTTATTTTTAGTGTTTTGGGTAACACTAAAACCTCCAGACTGATTTCTAAAGTGGCAGTTCTAGTTTACAATCCCAAGAGTGTATAAGCATTCCCTACATCCACATCAGCATTTGTTGTTATTGATATTATTTGTGATTGCTATTTTGATTGAGGTGAGATGGAATCTAAAAGTGTTTTTAATATGCATTTCCCTAATAGCTAAAGATATTGAACAGTTTTAAAGTGTTTCCTAAAAATGTGTACTTCTTCTTCTGGGAAATTTCTGTTTAGTTATGTAGCCTGTTTTTTAATTGGGCTGTTTGTTTTCTTGGTGTTTAGTTTTTGGTTTTAGTCCTTTTAATATTCTAGACACTAATGTCAGGTATATAGCTGGAAAAGATTTTCTCCCACTCTGTGGACTACCTCTCCATTTGATTGACAGTTTCCTTTCCCCTGTAGAAGATTTTTAATTTTGTGAGATTCTATTTGTTGATTATTGGTCATAATATCTATGCTAATGGAATCCTTAAAAATTCTTACTTATACGTATGTGTTGAAGCGCATTTCTTACTTTTCCCTTTAACTTTTTTAGAATATTAGGTTTTATGTTGAGATGTTTCATCCATTTGGAGTTGACTTCTGTACAAAGTTAGAGAAAAGTATCTGGTTTCATTCTTCTGCATGTTGATATCCAGTACCATTTGTGGAAGACGTGGTACTATTTTGTTTAATTTTTTGGCATTTTTGTTAAAAATAAGGTAGCTATAGTTGTTTTAATTTGTATCTAAGTCATATTCTATTAAACTATTTTTGTTAATGTTCTCTTTGCTCCTATGGGGAACCTGATTTTGGAATTTTCTTATTATATTAATTACTTTTTTGTTGCTATGTTAGAAACATTGACCAAAGCAACTTATAAAAGAAAGAGATTATTTAGCTTATGGTTCCAGGGGAATTACAGCCTGTCATTGTGGGGAGACATGTGGCAGGAGATGGGAGGAGGAGAAAGCAGAGCATTCACATCTTCAAGCAGGCACAGGAAGCAAGACAGCAACTCAAGATCCAGCAAGGCTTAAAAACTCTCTAAGCCTGCCCCCAGTAACATGCTTTCTCCAGCATAGTCATACCTTCTAAGACCTCCCAAAACAGTGCCACAAACTTGGGACAAAATGTCTAAATACTTGGAACCTATGGAGGGCATTCTCATTCAAACCATCATGCTTACTCTGTCATGTTTACTGATATCACCCTTTCCTCTGTTTTAAAGGGTTTGCCTGGTGATCCTGGTTACCCTGGTGAACCAGGAAGGGATGGTGAAAAGGTGAGAATTGTTTTACTTTGACTTGTCTGATTTATTCTTGTTAACATAATCTTTCCCCTATTGAGGTGGAGGTTGAATTATAAATGAGAAATGTTATAGTTATTGTATTCAAACTTGCCTTTTTTATCCATCTATTGGTATTGCTTCTTTTTCTTTCATACCCTGTCCTATAAATTTTTAAGCAGTGCCTTGAATCACAGCCATGTTGGAAACACATGCAGAGCTTTAGCATTCCCATGCTTAGTGAGGTCCTCTTACTAGACAAGCTTAGAACTATGAATTTAGACTGTCTTCTCTAAACATTTCCATTCTGTATGCAGTTATTGTCTGTAATTCTATGGCTAATTCTTTATAGTTTCCCCCTCCCACACTGGATGAATACAGCTTGACTGAGGTCATATTTAGTTACCTATTCTAAAATTGAATTTGAAAGAATGAAACACACACTTGTCCTATTTTTTAGTAGATCACAAAACATCCAGTTCTTCAAGCTTTGTATTCACTAATTGCTTTGTATCAAAACCAAATGGAAAAGTTTTGTTTTTCAGGCAAGAACAAATAGGTGTGACAAACCTGAATTATCCAGAGGGCATGTATTTTGATAGTGGTTTATCTCTAAACTCAATAAAAATTTTAGTTTTGCCTATGCCTAAAAGAAGCAATTAGAATAACGTAAGGCAACACATACTTAGATAATAAGATTAGCTTTCAACTAAAGGCCTAAAATACAGACTAATTAATTTAGAATCAGAATAGAAGTATGAAAGAGGTATCTATTCTTGGCGCTTGGTAGTAGAATCCCAATTGAATATTGTTTTTTCCTAACATTGTAGCTTCTGATCACAGGTAAACATTTTTGTCTAAATTTCTCTTTCATTAGTTTTTAAGAGCAATGTCAAAAAAGTAATCACAAGGTGTTAGATATTCTGATGATAGTTAATTTTATCCCTTTAAAATATCATCTGTTTCTGATGGAAATGATACTCAAATAGTATCCCTGACTAATTTTATGAGAAGGAATAAGGGTAAATGTTAAAGTCGTGATTATGTTAAAGTCGTGATGTTTTAGTGGTATTATCATAAAATTTATTTTAATATAGAAATTATAGCTGCTAGAAAATAAGAATCTTATCCTAAAGTCAAAGAAATTTACCAATGAAAATCTTTCCAATGTCTTCAGTTTTAAAATTAACCAGACACATTAATTGATTTGATCAAGATTATATAGTCAGTGAATCTAAGACAATATCAAAAGTCTTTGTGGATGATTCCAAACAGTATTTAGTTAACTCATTATATTTTTCATTTGGATTACTTTAGTGCTGATTTCTATGTGTTTATGAGACTTTTCTCTTAAGGAAATTAATGTTCTCATGTGATTCTTATTATATTATTATTTGTATTAAATATTTGTATTATATATTTATATTGAACAGGGCCAGAAGGGTGACATTGGCCCACCTGGGCCTCCTGGACTTGTAAGTTTTTTCTTTAAGTCTTCATTGTTCAAATTTAATGTTGCATTATCATTTTTTAACCCAAATTATATACTCCCTACCACATACTCACGAATATAAATGTCCAACCCTGTATTAACTTCTACTGGCTTACAAGCCTTTATACCTAAAAATTTTCAGTAGTGTTGACCTCAGGGTCTTTGTACGGTTCTGCCTATGTGTTACTTTTTGATAATTAAGGTTTAAAATTATGATACTGAGTTGATTTGCATCATGATTGCCAAATTATTTCTCAATTAACCAGCAGGTGGTGCAAGTGTTGCTTACAAAGGGTCAAGAAAACTCTGGGGGATGTGGGGACTGGCCTATTCCCCTATAGTGCTCAAGGGAAAGATGGATTTGGTCATAATAGGTTTTCAAATTTGTAATTGTCTGATTCACAACTCTTTGTTTCCTGAGTTATGAGTTTTCTAGGAGCTCTTAATAACTAAGTAGAAAACAGCTATATAAAAGAATAATTGAGGAGGGATATTACAGATTTTCCATCATGTTTGAATTCATCATGGAGTTTAAGTCAAGTGTATTTCCAATCTTATCAAGAATAAAATATCATTGCTGAGGTTTAACCAGTGGTTTTGGTTGAAATTTGGTAAGTCTCTAGACTTCAGACTACACTGAAGCCACAGTATTATAAGTGCGGTAAAACCTCTTCTAGATACTCCAACATTTCAGTGACAATAATTTAGCTCTTCTTACCCATAATAAGTCTTAGAGATTGATACTTAGAAATGTACTAAATCCAGTGAGAACATACTTAAAGATCTTCGGTAATTTTTATTCACTTTAATTATAAAGTGGGAGTTTAAGTTCTCCAGGCAATAATCTCTTTAGGATAACGCAACTTTGATGAGTATTAGAAGAAATGGAAATTTTGAGAATGCAGTTCTATCTACAGCTCACTTTCCCTTTGGAATCATCACCTCCATTTGGGATCTTAGAACTTTTGTTCTTGGAGGCTGGAGAGACGGCTGGAGAGATGGCTCAGAAGTTAAGAGCATTGGCTACTCTTGCAGGGGACCTGGGTTTGATTCCCAGCGTCCACATGGCGATTGATACCTGTCTGTAACTCCAGTTGCGAGGGATCCAATGCCTTCTTCTGAATGCTGGGGCACTGCACGACTTGGGTGTACTTATACACATGCAGGTCAAATAGTCATACACATAAAATCAAAATAATTGAATAAAATACTAAACAAACTTTTGGTCTCTCCCTTTTTCTTTATATTTTCACATCCATTAGAGCTAGGTCAAACTTTAATATTTTGCTACAAGGTATTGATTTGTATGCCAAGCAGAAAATTTTTTAAATCTCAAATTTATTTACTTTCATGGGTCTAAGGGATCAATTTAAAAAATATTTATTTTTCTGTAATTCTTTAGAATGCAATTAAGTCCTAAGAAGATAAAGAAAATAGGTATGATCAGTTGGTTGGGTTACATAAATACTGTCTCCCTGGAAGCGATACAGTTTCTTTCTTTCTTTTTTTTTCAAGGAAGAGCATATGACTTGACATACTGAAAGCTTAGGGGAAGGCACTGCAGATGTTTGGAATGGCATATGCAAAGTGGCTGATAAGAATGTGCAGATTGCGTGAAGTGGTTACAATCAGACAGACTTGACTGATTAAAAATTCATTGCTAGAAATAATAGGAAATGAAATAGGTAGGAGTGAGACTGAAAGTGAGAAGTGGCTTGACAAAGTTTAGGGTGAAAAGTAGCACCATGCATAGTAAGAGATACTAAGCAATTTTGTGTCCTTAAGGTGAGTAGTTACCACAAAAGAAAATGGTTTGGAGGAATAAATTATATAAATAAATTTGGGTTCAAGGGACAGACTCAGAGGTACAGTCCAAGTGTGACTTGAAGATAGTAATTGTGACACTAGAAAAGAGAGAGACAAACTGGAGACTTTTTTTTTATAAAGAACTGGTAGGCTTTTGTTGAAAATAAATTGTGAATTATATGAGAAGAGACAGCAAAAATACTTCTAGTTTTGTAAGCATTGGGCTTGGTACTATTGTTATTGATATTAGACATTTCCCCAGTTGTAGGATAAGAGTGATGAAGGTGACTTTATGCAGCACTCAATCTGGGCAGTAGTCTTAATGATTTGATATCTGAAAACTTTGTGAACTGAGGAATGATAATTATATGTAGTCGCTTATTTATATTTAGGAGACCAACCTTCTTCCTCATTGAATTCCTTAAATTCTTTTTTTATAATAAAGATAATTCCTACAACTGGGGCTGGAGTGACTGTGGGAGAAAAAGGCAGTATTGGACTGCCTGGCTTGCCTGGAGAAAAAGGAGAGCGAGGATTTCCTGGAACACAGGGTCCACCTGGCTTTCCTGGACCTCCAGGTAAAAGAGAATGTGTTTATGTCTTTGTGCTTACAGCATCCTTCCCAGTCTACATACAATGTTATCATAGTGGTGTGAGTGAGCTTGACAATAGAAGACATGAGTACTCCTCTGTCTCTCTTCCCTTCCATTCCCTAGTCCACCCCCCACCCCCAGTTTCTCTGTGATATGCCTGTGTGATGCACTCACTACTCACTTGTGCAGGCATCTGTGGAGGTCAGAAGTTGACATCCAGAAGTCTTCCTCTATAATTGTTCTACCTTTTTTTTTTTTTTCACAGAAGGTCTCTCACTGAAGCCGTAGTTTGCTGTTTCAGATAGGCTGGCTAACCAGTGAGCCCCCAAGACCTGTCTGTCGGCCCCAACAGCACTGAGGTTATAAAGGAACACCACCATGCCTAGCTTTTATGCAGGTTTGGTGGATCAAGACTCAGATTCTCATCCTTGTGCAACAAGCACTTTACCTGCTGAGCTATCTCCCCACCCCTAATTAATACTTTTAAACTGATTGTGCCAAACCTATAGTATTATGCTTTCTTTCCAAATTCTCTGCTTATACTTTAAAAATGCTTCCTTAAATGATATTTTTTGCTATAAATCTCATTTTTAACTTTTATTATTAATAAATTAAACCAAATAGTTTGTGTTGTTAGGGTAGTGGATGTGGCCAAAATAATGTCTTATATTTCTACGTTTCCTGTATAACAATGGTTGCCAGCACTGTCCATTTAGAATTCTAGAACCAACGAACTAGAAGTCACCATGGCAATTTTACTGTGTAATAAAACCTTAAAGTTCAATACTGACCTTTGTATCAATCCTGTAGAATATACAACACAGCATTTATAATTTCATCACAAGTTGAACTGCCCTTTTTATGATATTTATTTAAAGGACTTCTGAAATGAGATGCTAGCAGGAATGCATGTAAAATTCACAAAGTCATCTGGTACAGTATCTAGCACATATCCACATTCAATAAATAATAGTTCCTTCTCTTAAAAATATATAGCTAATGAAAAACCATCACGATGAGATTTGTGGCCCTCAGTGGTACTTCCAAGAGGGAAGAGAATACATGTGAGTTTTACCATGGTCTAAATATGCACTTTTGATTTCTAATCTCAAGGTAGTGAACTAAGTATCTATTATGTCTGGAAAATTAAAATAAGGATTTTTTTCCAGGGTAGAGTAGAAGATGTAGGGAGTTGAGACATATAAAAGAAAAACATGATGCATAAAGGATAAACCTAGAGGTTCTCAAATCCATTATGAATGAGTTAAAGTACAAAAGAATGGGACAAGAGGTAGGATTTGAAAACAAATAATGGCTGAGAACTTCCATCTGCTAGATACGCGCATGCTTGCACACACACACACACACACACACACACATACACAGATACACACAAATCTCTGTGAAAAATATGAAAAGGGTCATAAAACACTAACCAAGAGTGATACCTTAGGTAAAAGAGAATGTGTTCAGAATTTAGGGAATAAAAAATTTATTGAAATCCTGCCTGAGAAAAAAGGCACTTTACCTACAGAGCAGGAAGAATTTGTGGAAGGTAATGGAGCATTTTTTAGAGCACTAAGAACAAATAACTATGGCTTTGGGAGTCCATATTTTACTAAACTGCCATCCTAGTGTGAAGGTGGGAAGCCTAGAAAGTTTGCCACCTCCAGACATTCTCTAAAGTAGTTATTGAAGGTTTTACTCTGACAGTAAGAACAAAAATTCAGGATAAAATCGGAGTTGGTGGTAGGATACAAGAATCAAGGGATAAGAAAGATATTAATAAAACAGATTAACTCTAAGTACATATCGATCATTAAATATAACAAAGAGGATTTAAATAACAGTCCAGGACTTTAATTATAAATATTAGCATGATACGGACAGGTGGAGAGAGGATGAGGAATTGGCCACTCAGAGGTTTTTTTTTCTTATTAGTGGATGAGAATATAAACATTATTTTCTATAAATGTTTAGAAAGGTACAGACTTGAAGACTTGTGGGGCAGCTCTATTACTCAAGTGCTTGCTACACAAGCATGAGGACCTTGGTTTGGATTTCCAACACTGACATAAAAAGCCAGGGACAGTAGTACATGTCTTTAATCCTAGTGCCAAGAAGACAGAGACAGGAGAACCTTGGGGGCTTGCTGGCCAGTCATTCTAGCCTAATTGGTAAACTCCATGTTCACTGAGAGACTCTGTCTCAAAACATAAGGTGGAGAATGATTGAGGAAGACACTCAGTATTGACCCCTGGCTTCTACACAGCTGTATGTCCACACACATACACACAAACACAGTAGAAAAAGAAAAACATGTATTTAAGCAGATAGGTTAAAACTTATAGTAAACAATAGAGAAGAATAGAAATGAAATGTCTAACTTGCCTACCAGTAGAGGGGAAAACAAGTCAATCTATGCAGTTAAGACTGGGGCAAAACAAAAACAGACCTAGATAAACAGAAAATAAAATATAAGGTGACAAAAAGCAGTCAAAAAGTAAATCGGTAACTCCAACAAATGTGCAAAAATCAAACACCAACTAAATGATACTAAAATAAAACTGAAATAAAATACCTGTACTATACACACACACACACACACACACACACACACACACACACACAATTTGAAACAAGCACAAAAATGTAGAAGGGAAAGCTTTACCAGGATAAAAATTTTTATAAATTGAAAGCTAATGTATAGTTGAATATGGAAAATAAAACATGAAATTGAGAAGATTTTGGAATGAGTCAATATTGGCAAATATAATTAAGATAAAGCTGAGAAATAAAATTAGTAAAGAAAAAATGATATAAGTAGTTCTTATTTTAAATTACTGGAAAACTATAAATCTATATTAACATATTTGAAATACATAACTAATGATTAAAGTAAATTATCATAGATTTTAAAATACTGAAGATCTACATGGAAAAGTCTTGATTTACAGGTAGTTTTATGGTTTTGTGGATGGATTCTACCAAACTCTAAAAAAAAAGGATAATTAACATGTTTTTCAACTTTTTCAAAGTATTAAAAAGAAAACCTAATTTAATAATATTGGTAACAAATCACCAAGGGAATAACAGTATAAATAAGTAAGATTCAATTTCAGTTACATAGAAGCTATAATAGTTCTATATTAAAGTTGCCGTATCTATCCATAAGTGACATATGGCATTATCACCATCTAAATTTTACTGCAAGATTTCAAGGATTTTGTATACTGTATATCTGTAATTTACTACATTAACAGAGGAAAAGAGAATACACCAATAAATGCATAGAAATTCATAATAGCAGAAAAAAACAAGCAAATCAACCTAAGAAATGGTAGGGGAGAAATTTTATGGGGCTTTTATAAGATGATTTAGTGATTGAGAACACTTATGGTTCTTCCAGAGGACCTAACTTTGGTTCCCAACACACAGTTGGCTGCTCACAATTGCCAGTAAGTCCAATTTCAGAGGATTTGATTCCCTCTTTCGACCAATGTGGGTAGCTGCATACATGTGGCACACATAAACTTACTCATGCATATATACATACATAAATGCATGTATACATACATATAAATTTTAAAACTAAAGATGCGAATGATTTAAAATTAATAAATATAGAGATATACTTTATATATAAGATCAATACTATAAAGTTGATTTGCCAAGAAATAATCTTTAAAATCTAATTACCTTCCAAATTCTAAGAGAAACTGATAAGCTGATTCTAACATTAATTTAGAGGAGTAAAATTTGAAGTATAGAAAAATGACTTAAATATATATGTAATTATATATGTATTAGTTTTGAAATCAAATATATTTGTCATAATAAGTAATGATGTGCTAGAATAAAAGACAGTGGAATGGAAAAATGTCCATAAACAGATCCATGTTTTCCTTTTGACATTTTCCGACATATATACAATGTATTGTGATTATATTCACCTCCATTACCTTATGTTATCCCCCATGATTTCGCTCTAAACTCCTTCTTTCCAACAAGTATCCCATTGAAGTAAAATGAATCTCCTTCCTCCAGTGACTATTGACAGTATTGCCTCAGAAAGCAGGGGCAGTGGGGAGCTGTGTAGACACCTTTTTCCATGATGGAATGTTGAAGGAGCCAATCTTGAACAAGTGTATGTTCATGATTTCATTGACTATGCTATATATGGATGGCAGTGTTTCATGTGGCACTTGTCCCCATCCCCTGGATCTCACATTCTTTCTGACCCTCTCTTCCATGGTGAACCCTTGAGCCTGGTGGTAGTTTAAGGAGTTTGATATAAATGTTCTGTTTAGGACTGAGAATGCGATAGTCACTTATTCTCTGCAGTTTGACCAGATATGATTTTTCCATTACCTGTCACCCTCTGTGAAAGGAGCTACTTTACCCCAGAGTAAGAGCAGCACTGCTCTATTAGTATAAACATAAATATTTATAAGGAAGTTTGACAATGTGTTTATTTAGAGAAACAACAGTAGTATGTTCCCTCTTTGGACCCATGACCTGCCCAGCCATAGACTTTTGACAAGGTTTATATTATATGTTGTGCATTTCTGCCCACGGAGCAAGTTTCCACTCTAAATACAAAACCATTGGTTACCTCTAAAATAGTCATGTCACTATTGCACTAGTGGGCTTTTCTTACATGGTAAATCAGTACTGTAGCAAGCATGGCTTAGAGCTGGGTGAGACCACTGTTGTGTTTTCTCTTCTTGCTGCCTATATAAACATCTTCCAGCCCTGTGAATGCTAGCCAACAGGGAGGGAATTTCCAGCTCATCCACAATCTTCTCTGTCCTTTAATCAAAATATGTAGTGTCTTAATAAGTAGGGTCTTACCATCTAGTTCTGGAGAGGAAGGAAGAGTGATGGCCATAACCTTGATTCTTGGGGGTAGGGAGTGCGCTCTGGTAACATTCTGGCCAACAAATGAATCATAGAGAGGTATCCCACATCAGTTGCTGAGATTTGTTTATTTAAAAGCCTCTGACTTCTGAGCTCATCATTATCCATCCACAAAGTATACATCTGTTCCAAGCTCTTTTATTATTTTAATGATATTTTTTATTATAAAGTAGCAGGTTTCTATATGGCTTATTAATGCATCCTTAGCTTTTGTTAACATAACTTTCTACCCTCATATTCCCCTATTCCCCCAGCCCAACCCCATTTAACTCTTTTCATGCCTAGTGTTCTCCTTTCCCCCCTCTTGCTAATTATTTTCTGGTATTGCTTAGTGTAGAACACCATAGTGTCAAAGGGGAGGGGCTATAAATTCACTAGTAATTTCCAAAACCCATCAAACTACTTTAAATTATGCCTTATACTCACATTGTTATATCATTGGATGTTTTTCTTCCTTTAAAATGTTGATTCTCACAAAAAAAAAAACTTAAGATACTAACCAATTGAAGGAAGATTAAGGGAAAGCAGTGTAAAACCGGGGTGGGGCATGAGAGGCTAATGGAGAGAAGAAAAACAAAATAGTGTGTGTTTCAGAATTTGTGATTATCTATATACATCACATAGAAGCAGAAAAGAAGCTGTTTGGAGGAAGAAAGGGAATGAATGAAAGCGGAGTAGGAGAGATCTGTTGAGCAGCATGGGGGCAATATGAGCATATGTATGAAAAATATAATAAGATATTTCATTATATTACTAACTAAAACATAATTTAAAATGAAAAATGAATGTTAGAGGAAGATTTTATCAGTTTTAATGGCTCCTTGAGAATCAAAGTAATTATGTTTAAAATAAAATCATAAAATATTAAAATAATAAAATGAAATCATTATGGTCACTTAATGGATATTTTTTCTTAACTTAGGTACTGCAGTTATGGGTCCTCCTGGCCCTCCTGGACTTCCTGGAGAAAGGGGCCAGAAAGGTGATGAAGGTCCACCTGGCATTTGTATTCCTGGATCTCCTGGACTTGATGGGAAGCCTGGAGCTCCTGGCCTTCCAGGGCCTCCTGGCCCTCCTGGCCCTCATTTACCTCCCAGTAAGCTGTGATTTTATTCTGAGTTCTATTGCTTCTCAGTTTACTCCATTTGCAAGTGAGTATGGCTGAAGATGGGCATGGTTTTTATGTTTCTAAGGCCTGAGAGACTGTACTGCTACTTCTGGTTTTGGTAATTCTTTGCTGTTAAAATAAGGTCTTCAAACAGTATTCATTTTCAACAGTGTTGTATTTCCATATTACTTGAGTTATATTTTTGCAGAGATTTAATTGAAGATAAACCTTTTTCAAGCCTTTCTTTTTTCTTAGTCTTCTCAATATTTTACAACAATCAGCTTACTGTCTATCTTTAATTCCAGGTGATGAGATATGTAAAGCAGGCCCTCCAGGGCCCCCAGGATCTCCAGGTGATAAAGGACTCCAAGGAGAACAAGGAGTGAAAGGTTTGATTCCCTAAACACGTCCATTCCTTCATTTCTTCGAATCATTACCTAAATTGACTTCATCAAAACATCTATCCCACCTCAGCCATTCCCATGTGCATAGCTCATGACCATCTCATTAACAATATTGTATAATTTCATAATCTTAATTTCATGACTCATATTTTGGGATCACTTATGTCTTTCTACCTTACAACTTCTAACAACCTGACTCCCACATTCCTTGAATCCCACTGAGATCTAATTCTGATTAACCTTAACATTTAGATGCCTTTTCTTTCCTCTTAATTTAGCTTTGATTCCATGAACAAAGGGTTGCAATCTATGACACTGATAAACTCCTGACTCCTTTGCTGTTTCCTCACTTCATTTACTCATTTGTGACTGAAGTATAGCCCTGGTAGTCTCAGAATTCCACATCTTAGTCCGTATCTTCCTTTTCCTTTTTAAACTTCTATCTCCTTCCCTATTCTCATTTAAAGATTCCTACCTTGTTGCTTTCTTCACTGACCAATTACAGTACTAACAAGGACTTTCATGGAGTTTTGCCACCACATGTACTGATGTGCTTGCAGTTGTGCCCAAGCAGTTCCCTCATTATTGTTACTGCTCATTCCAAAAGCCAGATAGTCTGCTTGTACAACTGATTGCATGCCCGCTTGTTTCCTCCAGGGCTTTTATTTAGAAATGTTTGCCCAGTTTTCCACTTTTTACTGTAAATAATAGAATAATCCCACTCTTTCAAGTTTCTAAGAGAGGATATGAGCCATAGTATAGTCCCCGTCCTACACAGAAACAAGCAGATGAAAAATACGGAGTCTCTGTTTGCATAAAGATATTGGCTAATTTGTCCAAAGTTTGAATCACAGTGGATAGGGGTACGGATGAAAATGCAGGCATTATATCTGATGTATTGTTATGAAGAGGTGTGTGATAATTAGCAATATCAAGCAGATGCCTAGTTGAGGATTTCAATTTCATCATGCTGAAATTGAATGGGACTTATATATCAATATATGAGTGGTTAATAATTTTGATGTGAGAGAGAGTGTATTTGCTCACTAAAGTTTCCATAGTTGGGTAAAAATGATTTTCCATACCACTGGTCTGTATTTCATTCCATATGGGAATTACAACATACATTGTTTATTACTGTTTTAGGTTTTTGTAAGAGTTTCTTCAAAATCTTCACATACTGATGATGAATTGGTGTTAGGTATAAGTGATAATGTTGGGTATAGTACTGTACTAGGGTTTTGTTGGATCTTTTGTAGAGTTAATAGATTTTTCATTTATTTAGGAGGGATGTTAGTAGTATTTGGACATACTATAGCAGTGGCAATGGCAGAGATTATAAACATGTGATGCTGTAATTTGGTAATTTGAAGGTGTTAATGGTGTGGTTTTTGATAGTTAATTATAGTTGTGTGAGGAGAAAATTATAATGAGGTAGAAATTTTTCTTGAATTTGCTAAAAAGAGAGATTGACTGCTTTATAAAGGTGAACTAATTAGTCTTGTTGAAGTTGCAATAAGTATACATTTGTGGAATTTGATTAATAGTTGTGGCTTCTTGGTCTTTATTTGTATTTTTATTATAATTGAGATTACACAAGAAAATCAAGTAGTAACAATTACAGATATGGATAATGCACTTAAAATTTGATTATTCTTTTCTGATTTGGTGTGATTAATGAGGGATATATTTGAGTGTTTGGATTGCTTGTGAAGCTGCTGTTATCAGATTCATGATCAGTTGTATTTAAACTATATTTGCAATGTAGAAATTCTGCAATGAATTTAGGATTAAGGGATTCTAGATTTAATACTATTATGTGAATGACTATTAAAGTACTTTTGTGTAAATGATGAATTAACAAGATATATGTAAAATTCTTGAGTGTTTGTTGTTCAATATGTATGAAGTATTGAGGGTGATAATATGAATGGAAAGATTTGTTACGAATAAGATGTAGGACAACTAGGTCACAAATAGTTTACCAATTAATGGTAGCTGGGAGAGCTAGATTTGTAAAACTGTCTAAAGTGCTTCAGAATCACATTAAGAGCAGAATAATTTAATCTTCAATAAAGCAGTATTGTTTGGCTGTAAATTCCATTGTAGTTTCCAAGGCAAAATAGTATATTTGATGTAAGGGCATGTGACATTATTAAAACTGTATTATCTATATGCCATCAAGGTGTTTGATTAAAAATGAATACTTTGATCTCGACACTCGGGAGGCAGAGGCAGGTGACTCCCTATTAGATCAGTGCCAGCCTGGTCTACATAGAGAGTTCTCGTTCAGCTGGGGCTAGAGAAATACACGATCTCAAAAATCAACAAATAATGAGTACAATAACCTAGTGTATGACTAACAGATTAATATGTAATTAATTTTTTAGTTCTGTTGTAGGCAAACAGAGATTGTTATAACGATGCTTCGTGAAGGCAGAAAAAAAAGGATTTGTTATTACTTTTGTTATAATAGTAGTGTAACCACTCACATCTTCCCCTTCTTACTGACAAAACAAGCTATGATAACCTTCTAGTTAACCTTGGAGTCTTCCTTCAATACCCTTTTCTTTTGTATTCCATAAATAATTCATGAAAGCATTGTTGGCTTCATTTTCAAAAATATACAGGACCTAACCAATTCTGACAATCTTCATTGCTATCAGTCCTAGAAAAGCTGTCATTCCTCTTCTGCTTCATTTCAGGAGCATCTTAAGTGATTACTTTTTTTCCATTCTTTCTCTTAAACTCTACTTTTTAAATGATATTTTAACTGATCCTTTGATAATTTCATACAATTTATTTTGATCATATTCAACTCCCCTTCCCATCTCCCCATAGATCCACCCCACCTCCTTGTTCTCCTATTTGTTATTCTCCCTTTTAAAGCCTATCAGTTCTTTGTGTTCCCCACATACTTTTGTGTGTGGGGCTATCCCCAGAACATGGTCAACCTCCTCGGGGCTATAACCACAAAGAAAACTATTTCTTTCCCAGCAGCTATCGATTTCCAACAGTTTCAAAACTAGGGATGGAGCAACCCCCTGCATCGCCCCCTGCCCCTAGTGCTGGGATTTTGTCTGGCTTGGGCTTGTGCAGGCCTTTTGCATGCTATCACTACTACTGTGGGTTCATATGTCACAAGCACCATGTTGTATCTGGAAAACATTATTTCGGTGTAGTCATCTACTGCTTCTGGCTCTTACAGTCCTTCTGCTTCCTCTTCCATTATGTTCCCTAAGCCTTTAGGGGAGGAATATCATGAGGCGCTCCCATTTCCAGACGAACACTCTGCAGTCCTTTACAAGAGTTTTTTTTTTTTAACGTAGAGGTCAGAATCATACTTCTCAAACTTGTTATAGCATGTGGCTATTCTGTTTAACTTCTTCTGCCAGTTTCTCATTTCACTCGCACTGAATGCTACAGTCTAACATGGCCTGTATAATGTTTCGTGGTAAGCCATTCATTGCCCTTCATTGTGACCTGATTCCACTTCCTCATTCTTCTTCAGTAGTCTGGTGTGCTTGCTGTTCTGATCTCCATCTAGAATATTCTTTAATAATTATGCAAATGTCACACCTTTCATTTTTTATCCATATATCTTGTTAATGAGGGCTATCCTGACCCCACCTTATTTAAAATTGCAAATGTTCTTTCTCCTACCCATCCCTGGCATACTTAAACACACTTATACAACTCCACTTTTTCCCTGGAAATATATTTTCACACATATTTAAAAGCTCAATAGATTAATATTATATTAAATTATTTTATATCTAATTTGATAATTTATTGGCTTTGTTGTATATTATCCTTTCTTACTAGTAGGAAGTTGGTTTTAAAAAACATGGAAGTTTATCAATATATCACAAACACATCAAACAATTCTCTACATGTAGAAGGCATTCATTAAATATGTGTGTACTAGCTAGTTTTAGACATAGACTTCTGTAACCTTACTGTTGAGCAGGAATGCTGCTCCTTATAGCTCACATTTTTAAATAACTTATCTAAAGGTTTAAGCATTATTTGTTTTTTGCCAGGTGACAAAGGTGACACCTGCTTCAACTGTTTTGGAACTGGTGTTTCAGGGCCTCCAGGCCAACCTGGTTTACCAGGTCTCCCAGGCCCTCCAGGTAATATGTTTTCCATAAAGACAATCTTTATATGTCATGGCTCTATTTTAGTGAACTTCTGTTTTTATAATGTTGCCTGTTTCTCATTTATAGTTAGTCACCCATATACAAATGATAAAATGTAAAATGTCTTAGGAAATAAATCATGCTTAGTTTCTAATACCTGAAGCTACCTAAATTCTCTGTTCTAACATGTTGCATTATTCTAAAAACTGTATTTTCCTAAAATTGAAATGACATATAGGCTCAGAATTTTCTTCCAGAAAAATTGGGGGAAAGTTCATAATGTCTAGACCCTAAGTATAGTTTCCCGAGGCAGAGTCTTGGGGAATATATCACATGTTGTCATTAGGGAACAGGGTGTCTCTTGGAGTTTTTGCAATCAGGTGCCAATATTCCTCTTTCCACATATAACATCATCCCCCCTCATTTTGAATGAAAACCATATTCAATATTTCAAATGACAGCTGTTCCACTCAGACTCTTTGAATATTCCAATGTTATATTTCTTGAGGTCGCATCCTGAGTGCAGGCTGACTATAGATTCCAAATTTTTTGCCTGTCCAGTGTGTCTTCAAAAGATACCAATTAATTAGGAGTTATTAATGTAGTAGTATATATAGTAATTTAGCCTACACCTCCAGTCTAGTGATTTTCAAACTTGGAGTTGAATCAGAATCACGTAGAAGGCTTGTTAAAATTCAGACTACTGAATCTCATCCCCAAGTGTCTAATTCAGTAGATATGGAGCAAGCAATTCTTAGCAATATCCAAGAATTAACATATTACACTAATAACTAGGCAATAATGATGCAGCTGGTTCAGGAATTCATTTGGACAACCACTGTTTTAGTCATTTTTCCTATAGGCTTTGTTACTGAACATCTCTCATAAACTGAATTTTATAGAATAGCCAACCAAAGAAAGAACTACTGAGGACCTACTCAAATTGTATAGCTGAGAAGAAAGATATGCAAACTTCCTTATGTCCTTCTCCCCTTGGCAGTAGAATGGTTATAAAAAGCTCCACTTCACGCAGGTTTTAGAAGCTTCAAACTTTGCAAAGGGCTACATTGAAGTTAGCAATACCTGAGGATGCAGTAATGTATGTGCTGTGAACTATTAACTTCATTCAAAAGAAAGTCTGATTTCTTCATATCAAGAAACTGAAAGGGGGAAAACAACAGTTAAATGGAATAGCATAGAGGTTTTAGTTTAAAATTTAAGTTCCTGACTTGGTGATTTCTATATGCGCCTGTTTGGGAGTAGAGGCTCTGTCATCATATTATTTTATATGTGTGTTAGGATCTCTTGGATTTCCTGGAGAGAAAGGTGAAAAAGGCCATGCTGGAGCAACTGGTCCCAAAGGATTGCCAGTAAGCTTTGAGTGTATTATGAGTCAAAAAGCAGTAGAAGGAAGCTGTCTGCCCCTTGAGTCTCACTTAAGGATATATATATATATATAGCTTGTATATTTATAATAAGTCATAATTTATTTGATTCCTTCCTTTCCCTGCCTCACATGCCTGACTTCATCCAGTATGTTGTATACTAAATGCTATTGTATGAGTTAGTGGAATAAACTGGGAGGAAGGGTGTTAGAAAAAAAAAGCCTGATTTCCTTTTCCTCCTTCTTCTCTTCTCCTGCTTTCTTTTTTCCTTCCAAACCAGGGCATACCAGGAGCTCCAGGTGCTCCAGGCTTTCCAGGATCTAAAGGTGATCCTGGTGATGTCCTCACTTTTCCGGGATTGAAAGGTGACAAAGGAGAGTTGGGTTCCCCTGGAGCTCCAGGGCTTCCTGGTCTACCTGGTACTCCTGGACAAGATGGATTGCCAGGACTTCCTGGCCCCAAAGGAGAACCTGTGAGTTAGTCTGATATTCTTACTTTTATGATTTCAAATTGTCACTTAGTAATTTTGTATAAAGAGTGGGGGTGCATTGTGTTTGTGTGGTAGAGCTCATGCTTGGCATGTGTTAGGCCCTGGGTTCAAGTTACAGTACTAAAATATGTTTGCTGAAGTACAACAAAGAATGGGCCTGCTGCTGAGATGAATACTTTAGCAATACCTAAAATAACATCATTACAGATGGAATGGTGCAGTATTACTTTAGGGTGTCCTTGCTACTCTTTTCTGTTTTATAAATTGTGTATTAACTCCTTACTGTATTGAGTATTATTCACTTGCTATGAATAGATGGACAGGAAGTTAAAATGCTTATGCATCAGTGTGGGGTTTGCCTTCTTTTTCTCCATATATCTCTGTGTTTATTTAGACCTGAAAACAAGACATCAAACATGATTTATTTTATTTTTTATTTTATTTTTTTAAATTATTTATTTAATAACCACATACTTAGAAGCATTTTATTACATCAGCATTTATAGGTTGATATGGGTAGATGGCCAGGTTAAGAAACTACAGAGTCGAACACTGAATATAAATGAACAGTCTCATTTTGTGTAAAACACACAGCCCAGGATACTTCGGTAGAAAGTATATTTTGTACAAGGTTAGCTATAGAATAACCTTGATTTATACAAGACTGTAAGCTTCTTGAGAACAGAGATTTTGGCCAACTTACCTTCTCTGCTTGTATTATTAGCACATAGGTAATGTTCAGAAATATTTGTTGAAGGAGTGAATCAGTAGTGATCATGCGTAGAATTCCACAATATCACATAATTATACAGCTTTAAGAAATACTTATGGCTATGTCATGCCCCTATTTGTATTTAGTCATACCAACCTGGAGGTAGTTTTTATAGCTGTGTATTTTTGTCTTAAACTTTTCCATTTTCAGGGTGGAATTACTTTTAAGGGTGAAAGAGGCCCTCCTGGGAACCCAGGTTTGCCCGGTCTCCCAGGGAGTATGGGGCCTATGGGCCCTCTTGGTTTTGGCCCACCAGGCCCAGTAGGTGAAAAAGGCATACAAGGTGTGGCAGGAAATCCGGGCCAGCCAGGATTACCAGGTAAGTCTATTATGGCTGTTTGTTTTGTTTTAAATTTTGTGCTTAAAAGCAGAAATGAAAAAAAAATGGCGTCCTTTCCTAAGAAATGTGTCTCTGTAGCCATTTACATGCTCTGTTGCAAGAGAATAGAATTTCTTCTTTTAAGGGAGATTTATTATTTTTTTCTTTCTTTGCTGTTACCATCATTTATGTACCTGTGTGTGTGTGTTTGCATATACAATTTCATATATATATATGGCTAGTGAGCTCCAGGAATCTGCCTGTGTCCATACCTCAGTGCTGAGTTACAGACATGTGCCACCATCCTCAAATTTTTTTCATGGGTGCTAGATATATAAATTCACATTCTCATGCTTTCTCAGTAGACACTTATGACTGAGATCCATTTATGTTCTTTATAAGTATATGATACCCAATGCAAAGTTTAACAAATAATTATAATAAACAGATACATACCTACATATATAATAGCACGCATCAAAAAATTTCAAGGATCCTATAATCATATACTCTCCTATATCTTTCATTTCCTGTTCATAATCTGTTTCCTCCTTCCAAAAGTAACCACTGTCCTTACTTTTGCCTATTTCTTTCCATTTATCATTTATCCATACATCCCTAAGCAAACTGATTTTCCTTCTTTTTTGTGCTTCATCTTAATTGAATCATAGACTAAGGGCTTTTGATGATAACTTACTGTGCAGTAAAATTGTTTCACTTTCATTGCTGTATAGTATCCCATTATGTATGTTTTTGGATAAGTGGGCTGCTTTCAAATAATCGCTATTATAAA